ATGCTACACCAACTCGCTTAAACTTTACTCCGAGACATTGACGTTAAACAAAGATCCTTTAAAGTTTCACAGTTACAACTTTACATTGTAAGTCGTACACGTAACTTAGAACCGCGTCTTTACTTACTTATATTATATTTGTCTTTATATTATGCAAGTAACGCTACGTTGACTTAATGTTTACTTGAATATAAAAGTTAAACTTTTTAGACGAGGAATATTACTTTTGAATACCAAAATAGATTCACTAAAGAGTTTTCTTTGTTAATAAGTAAAATTCCTTTTATCGTTTCACATAAACAAGAACGAATTCATTTACGATCCAAAGAGAATGAATACAAATCATATTCTATTTCTAACAAAAAAATAAACTCATAAATATTCGTGCAAAACAAATTTTACCGATCAACCGTGTTGTACTTAAGAACTACATAACTTTATTTGCTCCTTCGTATAATATTTCTATCTGATAACAAATTTTCTTTCAGCAAATTGCCTTTCCTCGCGACTTAATAGCTAATATTCTAAGGCTACATACACACGCTGCAAAAATGAACGTGCACTAACGCCTAAGTGAATTTTAATTAAATTGATAACTTTCTATACTCGTCTATACTTCTTTTTAATTTTATTAACTGATAATCAAGAAGAATATTAGTATCACAGGAATACAGTAAATTTAGGGTGAGTTGCATCAAATCGCCGGTTATCGTAAAAGTTATACTAGGGCTACAAGTGCAAAAACATATTCTCACAGAGGTTTTATGTGTTTTTCGTTTTTACAATGGAAACATTTAAACCTGAATGTCACTAAAGTGTCAAGTTGGTGTCAAGAATGACATTTACGTAAATTAAAATGTTTGGAAATTCATGTTTCGGCGATTATATTTATGTATCATACGCATGGTATTTTATAGTGAAATAAACTTTTTGCCCACGAAGATGGAGAAAATGGCAAACTCTTGTGAAAATAAACTAGTTTGGGCCATTATTGAAACTGTATTTACTTTACTACTCAAATATGTAGCAAAAATGAAGCAATAAAATTATACAAATATAAATGCATCTTATTTATTTTCCATATTATAAATTGTCCTGTCAATGCATATTATAAATTGTCCTTTTATGGAGGACATTTTTTTAAATAAGAGAAAAGGGACAAGTGCTGTTGCTATACCCTTAGACACTCGAAATTTGTCCAAACTGAATGTTTGGCCAAATTTCGAGTTCCATCTTGGAAATCCATTATTTCCGAGCACGCAAGACTTTATTCTTCTGGATTACGTATAGGATAATAGTAGAGATTTTCGTTTTCCATTACTTTTTCCATTATTTGTGCTTTTGAAGATAAGAGCTTGTGACAGTTGACACTACCGAACTGACACTAACCGCAACGCTAACTATAACCGCCCAAAATCGGGCGGTTATGATTAGTGTCAAATATGACGTCATTTTGACCAGCGCAAAACTGGTGTAGCGAATATCATGAACATCCGAAGACGTAACCATCGGGAATGTGCTGGTTAAGGTTTATAGTTAGTTAATGTAACTCATCCTTAGTAAATTTTAAGATTATTCCAAATATTACCATTTCAAATAATTTTAACTTTAACGGTAACCGGCGATATGGTGCAACTCACCCTTAGTGTTTTACATTTATTTTTATCTCTGGCAGTCATACAAATATTAGGTAAAGAGATAATAGGTGCATACCTGTTGTTAAGTACGATAGTATGTTATACGTTAGAGCCGAAACTTGAGTAGTCCTTCAATTAAAATACAATAACGTTAGTTAAGTACACACTGGAGCGTAGTGCAATTATAGAAAGGTACACTGAAATAGGTTAAGTGTCGGTAAGTACGGCGGTACGTAGCGACATAGTGAACCTACGTATTGCACTCACATTGATTAATTCTTAGTACTTGAAGACTAGAAAGTCAATAGACTAGATCAATAAGAGAAGTGTCAGTTACTAAACTGTATATACTAAGTTAGTATAAGTATTATACGTGTAAAACCGATATACGTATATGTCACTACTGGTTCTTCTGGTCTTGTTTTTAACACCCATTAATTATAAATGATAATAAAGAATCTATAGTTAGCGTGGTATGGACATGTTATGCGACTACACAATGGGGACATAAACCAGAAAGTGTTAAGATTGAATGTGGATGACTACAAAGGTAGAGAAAGATCGAAGAAAGTATGCATAGATTGTGTAAAAGAGGTTATGTTTAAGGGAGTGGATTCAGATATCAGATCAGATAAAGATAAATAAGTTTCCATGTTGATTGACCCATAGATACAAAAAGTATGTTTTAAATACGTTTTCCTTGCTTAAAACCTCTTTCTTTTTAATTATACTCTATCCATCAATACTGTCTTTGGTAATAAGGATTTGATAAAATAGTCCCGTCATGAGTGATGGATCAACGGCATTAAGCCCTGATAGACAGATAGGTAATAGCGGCCGCGATACACTTTTTATCGAATTTATAATGCTCCAAACAGAGTTAAACTATCATTTTTTCTATCATTTTTTAAATATTGCCTCCTATTGAATCAAACTGAGTTGGCCCTAAATCTGGTACAGATGTATCAAAATGATAATTCTTTGCTTCATTCTATTACAACCTCTTGAAATTTTTTGATTTGAAAGAATTAATTCTTAAAAAACCTTAGAAAATTCTGTTTAGGAATACCTACTCGTTCCCTGAATCAAATAAATAGAGCAAATCTGATTGGAGCTACCAAATGGTCTATGATAGGTCGATTTTAAAAATAATATGTCGTTTACCGAATCCTATTTTTGCACTATCTTTGGAGAACAAAATAATAAATATGTAGGAGAGCGTGCGTCCGATACTAACTCCTATTAGAAGGTAACTTTATACTCTGGAGGTTCTCAGCAATGCTATTAAATATTGAAGAAATACACTTTAATAGTCTTTTCACATTAAGATTAAAATTTATTTTTAATTTGAACTTCAAACAGCGAATTAAAATTCATTATCCAGAACTAAAATAATCGCCAAAAATGCAATTTATAGTTGTAACTATTTCTTTAAACATTTTGGTTGAAACTTAATAATAAATTCGACACTACTGGCCACAGTCAAAGTCAAATATTTTCGGTAGCGTCACCCAGCTGCCTGTATTTGAATCACGTAATGCTTTCGTGGCAAATATCGATGTGATTTTTAACCGTCGGTTGGATCTTGAGCCAACTAATACTGAGTAAACAAACTATCCTTCTCTAGTTTTGGAATTTTCAATGATACCATGTATTTATTAAAAACTATCATAATTTTCGCGCGTAATTATCACCTTGAATCTTCCAATTTTGAACTGATCTATTTTATTACCTATCATTTTATATTTTACATTATAAAATGCTTAAAGACCGAATAGATACACATGTTTTAAAATAATACCAGTAAACATACAATTGCCAAGTCAGCAGTTTAGTTCACTCGATTCATTTTATGCATCAATCAAGTTACTCGTCAGTGCATTGAAAACAAACTTGCCACAGGAAAAAAATAAATGTATGAAAGGACATAAAAATAATGACTTGTACAAAAGGTAATCGTTAATGGAGTCGAAAACAAGGACATTGAGCGCCGTCTGCCATAACGACTCATAAACTGTTGATAATGAGGTTGATGATAGAAGGGGAATAATTGGCACATAATATTGGCTCAGTGCCTGTAATTCTGGTGGTCCCTTTTGTGAGACGTTCTTATCCGTTAGATTTGGTCCTATTCATATTTTGTATTCAAGATATTTATTATGCATAAACCTCTCATAAGATATATATTGCGACTTAATAAAAACAAGCAATAATTTTTAACTAATTGCAAGAATCATGAAGAAATTAATCTTTATTAATGTAATCTTAATAAGCAGAACCTATTGTCAAAAAGAAACTAACATGTTCCATCGTATAAAATTGAAACAAATTACTTAAACAAAAACAAGGACTGCAGTTTTATTTTGTACCAATTAAAATGTATGTCTTTAAAATGTAAATATTTTACACTCGCAGCTCGTAAAGTCTCATAAAAAGTTTCTTACAATATTAACTTCACATTTCGAATAGTATTATTGAAATGTTGTATAATAAAACAGGCCATTAAGTGGTGGCACAATGTAGAGCGCTGTAAAAACTGCGCTCCTATCAAAAATGCCGTTTAATAGGAATGTGTCGACCGTAGTGACCTGAGGTAATGCAATTTGATGCAAATGCGACGATGCATGGGACGATAACGAGCCCCCTGCCCTCGGCTCCTACCCCCGCGCACCCCTTCACCCACGATGACTTACGTCGACGGAAACGTAGCGGATAACGGACCGCCCAAACGGCTCCACTCTAAACTGCATTATACAATGCAAAGAACCTTTCGAAAACTATGTATTCAAAGAACTTACTTGAATTCCTAGATGGTTTCGTTTTATCAGTTAGTCATTTTGTATTGTGGTACTTGAAAATGGCTTTGCATTTGCCTAATTTAGGTTCAAATATGGTTAAATTAATACTTTTATTTTACCGAAAAATAAGCCAAGGTTACAAAGTTCAATATTGAAAAGACGGATATTTTACGATTGATTTGCATAATTTAAATGCAACACGTAAATATGCAAATATATAATAAAGCAATAAAAAATCAGAACAAAGTTTAGGGTTCTTGTGAAAGTAATATTAAAGAAGCGTGCGGTGCTTAAATAATATTCGTAGCGGACGAGCGTCGTAGCAACGTTGCTACGGAGCTACGCGTTCAAAATGTTAATAGTGAGGGGACCAATACTGTGACCTAAATACTCTTCATTCAATATCAATGTATATTTATAACTTGTTACTATGTTTATATGCAACACAATTTTGTATCAATTGCTAGTAGAGTACGAAGAATGTTACGGGTACAATAAATAGTAAATTATTCTCTGCCCCTTTATGTTACTTTCTTTTAATGTGTCTACAATTTAGGATCGTAAATGTTATATTGTAACAGTTCTGAGAAATATCTATGAAATAACTAGAAAGTTATATTTTTTCATTGACTGATTTTTTATTTTTAGAATTAAGACGGCAAAGGCTAAGTCAAACTGCCAGCTATTGAACTTCAAGGCTAATCCGATTACTGACTAAGGTCATACTGAAACGATTGTAGACTTTTTTGTTTTAACGAAACACAACACCGATTTTTTAATTGGACAATAATAGGATAGATATATGTATAAGAGTTATAAAAAAAATTGTCGATAAAATTATAGTATACTAAGAAGTATAAGGATTGGAAAAACTTGTTCACAATAGAGATAAAAGCAATTGTCAGGGATTTTACTACAACTAATAAGCGATAAACATTTATGACTTTGCAAATCAAAGCTCTAATAGTCAGCAGTGCTTACAATGTCTCTTCATCCAATCTACTTCATTTATTTACTAAATAAAATATGCATTATTGCAACAAAGCCTTCCACCTTTATCGAACTAAAATCTCGTACCAATGAAATATTATTTTCCTATTTAGTTAGGCTACCTAATTTGAGTTTCCTTTCACTGGCAATATCTTTGGATAATAAACTCTAAAACTGTATTGTTATGTAGGTAGGAAGTAGAGGCAACTGGTGCGGCAGTCGGTCGCAGTGCGTGGGGATGGAGCTGGTAATAGTGAAGGCCAGAGCCCAGCTGAATCGTCTCCTGTGGGCGGGTGAGAAGCGCGCGAGCGTGCGCGAGGAGCGCGGGGGGGCCGGCGGCCGAGCGCGGGCGGGGCGCAAGCGCAGCATGGCCGCCGCGCCCGCGCCGGCGTCCGTCGCACCCTGGTTCAACGCCACGCTGGCCTACAACGCGACGCGCCCCAACGACACCGACTTCGAGCTGCTGAATGCCGCTGCCGATGACCACGACGACCACTGGTTCTGTGCCAAGTGGACCAGCGCACAGCAGGATCTATTTCAGGTCAGATTCATAACATTAAAAAAGGATTTCAAAAATATTTATCTTGTAAAAGGTTATCGTTGTGTATAGGCGGCGAACTTGTGCTTCGCGCTGGCATTCTTCGTGCCCAAGCACTTTAAACAAAGTATTCTGGTGCTGCGCGCACTGGCGGCGGCGGGTGCGGTGCTAATGGCGATGTGGGCGGGCGCCGAAGTCTGCGCGCCTGACATCCTAGCCTGGAGTCTCGCCGTGCTCCTCGTCAACTCGATGCACTCGGTTTTTTTAATTATAAGGTAACGACATCGCTTTCGTTAATATTTGACACTGTCCAACTATGACATGGATACTTTTCTCCACAGTTAAATATCGCCTCGCTTAAGGGACTCATTGTAACACTGTTGCAGATTTCTTCCACCGGCGCTATCGCTGGAATTGACGGACCTATACCTGAAGCTTTTCAAACCACTGAAGGTGAACAAGAAGCACTTCCAGGAGCTAACACGCGAGGCGAGGCTCGTGCGGCTCGAGGCGGGCGAGGCCTACGCGATTGAGGACGTCACGCCCGCCGATGAAAGGCTTTCAATTCTCCTAAAGGGAAAGTATGTATATTTAAATGTATTTGTTATATTAAAGATATATATTAATTAGGCATATGTTACAAACATCTACAGATATCTGTAACCGTGTAGTTTGAAGATAAGAAAATTACTAATGTTTAGCTGGGAGAAAAAATGGGAAAAATGGTCACGAGATTAGCCATAGCATAGGGTCTATATTACTTAGATCACAGATACGAAGAAGCAATACTATTAAAAACACTAATTACACTTACAATATACGAGAAAACATTCAATAAAGTTTCAAAACCAAAGCATACATGTCCTGTTTCGTATCGCCACATGTAACTTCATTCGTAACACGCGACACGTGACTTGATACGCAGAAGTCTCCCCCTCTACCTTAAACTTATTCACGTGGAATCACGTAACTTCGAAAACAGCTTCCGTGTTGGATAATAATGACGGAATGGTAAAGGAATTTCTTATAGCGAATGTAAACCTTACATAGATTCATTGTAACGATATAACTAACGTCTGTAATATAGAGGTGTAGACAGAGACCACGGACCTCCATTCAATTCTAATTAGCTTTGATACCCCTCTTTAAAAATAATTACTTCGTAATTTAAAAAAAATGAAGTTTACCCATAGTTTTTATCTCTGTAATACATTAGATAGAGAATTTAATATAGATAATATATGTTGCATATTAAAAAAAAAGATAACAAAATGTTTACTCAAACTTATCGGGTGGTTAATAATTTAAAAGCTATCTACATGAAGATGTTTCGCAAATAGAGCAGCGGTCAGTATGAAAACGGTCTCTATAGACGGGACGAGTCCGTCTGTACATTTTATACTCGTATATTACTTGAGGGCCTGGCCAATGCCAGTAATGCAAGCGTCTACAGTTTTCAATTCCCTTACAAGTCGTTTGGGAATACTGTAATATGTAATGTTATTTGACATAATAAATGAAATATACAACACGTAAGTAATTACTTTGGAACACATTACGATATTAAACTCCCTGAACCTGAAATACATATAAAACTATCGAGTGTTGATATTTTAATCAAATATTTCCACGACACATTCTGAAGTACAATCGAAGAGTCGTGTTTTTATTAATTAAATGCACAGTAAACTGGAGTAGGCGGCACTCGGGGCTCGGGAAAATAATTTAAAGCGAAATACTTAATTACTTTAAAATCGCATACAAAAGCGTCTTATGCAGGGCGCTGCGGCCGCAAATAATTACGTTAATTTGTACCAGAAACGAGTGCAGGCGATACGGTACGGTGAGCTAGCACCACACATGCGTTATATTCAAGGCTGACGTGCAACATATGAACATACTTCAGTTATATACCAAAATTCCCAGCCAAATTATTTGGAAACCAGTATTTGAGTTCTCATTACTAAGTATTTATGTTATAAAAACATTGTTCTTCATTATGATGAGACCTATTTATGATGAATTCGATGTTTTGCGTCCACCAGTGGACTCTATGAACTTGTTTCTAAAACCAACGTTATGCAAAATATTTGCACATAGCTCATTGTATTTAATTACTCTTAAATTGGTGTTGTTTTTATGGATACTTTAGTTTATGGACTAAGTGTATGCGAACTAATTTAGCATATGCACATTGCACATTAACGTCGTCTGCGTCGGCGATAGGTGTGTCCGTCGCGATCTCTGGGGAAATTCTCGGTATACTATTATCTATATTAACTTTAAAACCACTATGTTTTTAATTCATTCGTATGGATAATAAAAAATATTTGGCAACAAAAGACATAGAAAGAGAGAACGACAGTAAAATTTTATTCAGTTCAACGATTTTTCTATTTGGTCTTCGAGAATACAGACATGTTATGTATACGTCTAATAGACAAAAACACTTGTATAATAATTTTATCTTTGATTTGGCAGCACATAGAAAAGAAAATTTTTCAAAGATGTACTGATGTGAAACTGATTTTAAGAATGTGAATTAGTGACGTTAATTTAATTTATCTGTGTTGGTATACAGAATGCGAGTGAGCTGTGACGAGACGCATTTGCACTACATACAGCCATATCAGTTCGTGGACTCGCCGGAATGGGAGGCGAACCGGGAACAATCTGACGATGTCTTCCAGGTAACATACACATTATTTTTATAAATTCCAAAGACGCATTGTTCATTTGTCCACAGTTATGAAAAAAACGTAATTACCTGGAAAAAGTGCCAGACGTAATTTTAAGAAGAAATACCAAATAATAATATTGTTATTATGATTATGTGAGAGGTTGTAGTTATTAAAGAAACTGTGATCATGTTACACAATGCTGGTAATGTATTAAATTAATATAAACAAAACCTTGTTTAAAATTATTTTATCGTAGCTCAATGCTAAAACCGAAACACGTATTAGCCGAACATTAATAGGGTCAACCGCAATCTAACCTTCAAGTTTAGTATCAGATTTGTGGCGACGCTTGCATGTGAACACAATCGCGGATAAGGTTGGAAACAGGAAACTACTTTTGCATGTAAATCTTATCAACGTCATTGTTGTAGCTCTACATGTATGTAACAAACTATACAAAGTTTTGAGACCTTCAGCAAGAATACAGTTTATTTCTGATTGCCCTTTAATCAACGTCGGTTGTTGAAGTGACAGGAGTTGAACATTAACCTTTTCACAGCTAAGAAACAATAGGTGCAAAAGTCATTTGTTAGTAACAGAACGTAGTAACAGCTCATTGTAATTCCGCATCCACTCAGGTTGAATAATTCCGACTCAACCCATGAATAATAGATTAGGCCCCCAACCGAGGATTTATCTACCGAAATAATTACAATAACATTTATTCAGTTTTAAATGAATTATTTAGATCTGAAACTGTTTTAGTCAGATTGCAAGATAAACTGTTTTGTATTTCCAATTATAATACTTGGTGTAGTTTGCAATTTTCATAAAATTTCGGATTTGCAGGGTTCATTAATATTTTACTTGATGATATTTGTACGATTTTAAAAGATATTATTTTGCGAGTTTGAGTAGTAATTTTTCCAAGCAACAAACTATAGAAGGAAAATTAAATATTGCAAGGGAACACAGATCTGAGACGTACAGTCCACTAATGTGAGACCCAAGAATGCAATTAATTCCTAATTCCCCAATTTAGGACTAACCTCGTGACACGTATTCGTACACGTAGCTTAAATTAAATCCTTCAAAGACAATATGAAAATGAAATCTCTATAATTTTAGTCTAACACTGGGCATACACTGCTTGCTTACTTGTCATTTAAGTAACTAGTAATAATATGAGCAACGTCATTTCTTGTTTTCCAAAAACGATTTACTCAAATCGCATTCGTTCGAATTAGTTCAATGTTTATAAGGTAAGAATGGTAATGATTATTTTCAATATGTGAATGTGTGTATGCGTGGTGCAGGTGAGCGTGGTGGCAGAGGAGGTGTGCACGTGCGTGTGCTGGCCGCGCATGCGCCTCGAGCGCGTGCTGCGACATCGCCCGGCACTTAAGGTCGTTCTCGACTGCCTCATAGGTACGTTATGTACTACAATTTCGACATCAGACATAAATATAGTATACAGACGAACCCAATATTTTTACACAGAAACGAATCGTATTCACATAATACTAGCGCTTCAAAGCGAATGGTTACCCAGCGCACTGATGTGAATTCAAAAGCGTACTCATTGAATCGAATAATGAGGTACCAATGTGCACACAATCATATACACACTTGCTGAGCACAAATTGTATTGAAGTCTATCTAAAATGTTGTTGTAATTTTTTATTACAGGGAAAGATATAACACACAAGTTGTACTCGGTGAGTGAGGGCCTGGGCATAGCTGGTGCGGGGGAGAGCGAGGGCGTGCCCGCGCACCTTACGCGCTCCGCCAGCGTGGACGCCGTTCACGAGGGCGCGCGCGGTCGCCTGCGCAGCCTCGCCTGGCGATCGAGGACCGCCGCGCCAAAAGGTACCATACCACTTCTTTATAGGCCTCTGTTAACCATCTTGATATATAAATATGTCGAAAGCAACACACACGTACAACGCTTAAAAATGTTTAAATATTTCAGGGAGCTCGTATTGGCAGCCGGTGGTGGCGCGCCAGTTCCTGCGGCAGTCGCCGTTTGGGCGCGCCATGTTACCGCCGCGGCTAGTTGCGCAGGCGTCGTCGGCGAGCCTGCAGCCGCCCCCGGCCAGCCTGCAGCCGGCCGCGAGCCGACGTCGCGAGGTCAAATTTGCGGAGACGCCGAGCGCGGTTGAGCCGGCTGTGTGACGCGGGCCGCGGCTCCAGCCCGAGCTGGTGCCGCTCGTTGCCGCCCCGCAGACCACGCACACCCCCTATAGTCCCCACAGGTCCCACGCCGACACGCCCACATCCATACTCTCCCCCTGACATCTACCCCCATTCGAGCGAACCACACCGCCACACATGACAGACTTTTAAACGCATACATTTGTATTTACAATTAAACGAACCGATAAGGAAAAATGCTAACATGAGACTAGTGAAAACTAAACGCTATAAGAAAATAATAATTTTATATTGCCTGTTTAAAAAAGAGCTTCCTAATAGAACAGTATACACGTGTAATATGTAGCTTATGTTCGCTCGAAAAGTGCCGAATGTTCGGGAGTGGGACGTTCCATCGCAAGTGACAGAGACACGTCGTCGGTGTGAAGTGATACAGACTGCTAAAATTGTTGAATTTTCAGAATAACATACTTAATATAAAATGTAATTATTATGTGAGAAGTAGATTTACATAGCTAGAATAAAATGTATTTTGTATCGTATGTTGCATTTGAAAATAAAACCGCTCAAGCGTTGTAATAGCTCTATATAAAATAACGATCGGATCGATAGAACTGAGAGTTATCGATACGATACGAGCGATTGAGAGAGAAGTAAATACGAACACGACAAGATGTACGCGATCGTGACTTAATTTCCATGGTATTTGTGTATCAAATACGAGATTCTAAAATATTGTAATGTTATAATGTAATTGTTTATTAGTTAGTACTTGTATATTAAATGTGTTAAACTCGTGATAATATCTTAAAAGTTACTGCAAAAAATTTCATATTCAGTACGTTGATCATAAAAATTATATCTATTTTCGTGTTCCTTATTCTAATCTCGTAATACAAGCGGTCACTTAATTTATAATTACAGTCATTAAATGTTGTATAGTAACTATGTTACATAGTCTTAATCAATGCTTGAATAACTTGTATAATACACTATGTGTTAGCACCGGGACCGGGCGATCTAAAATAAAGTTTCTTTTATTCCGCCTTGTACAAATAAATACAGTTGAGGCCTAAATTATAACAGAAGAATATTGACTTTTTGTTATTGAATTTCACTTATAAAATGTACATCTGGTTCTTATCGATCATTTTTTTAATTATAAACATTTTACAATACATTACAATTACAACGAATGGTATGTCTTATGGATTTATATTTGACCAAATATGAATTGTAACGAGAGAAAAAATTCAACGTTCTTACAAATTCATAAGTACTACTGAACAATTTTAAAAGTCAGTAATGGTTGTACAGATTTTAATGTCATATTTAAGTTGATGTGAACCTATTTACTGTGGCACAATTTTATTAAGATTCATAAACGCACATTCAAAATAACACACCCTGTATTTGGATACAATAAACAATTCATACAATCTCCGCTTCTAGTATCTAACTTAAAGTCATCGTGTAACTTGGTGGTGATTAGGAATTATATTTAGATGTCATCACAACTATGAAATATTAATTCACGTCGGTGTTTAGTTGTTGTTGTCGTCGCTTTATAACTGTATGGTGTCAGAATAGACGGACAAGTAGTGCCCGTATTAATGTTAGCCGTGCGAACACTCATTACGACTTGCGATACTCGACTCACGGATATACATGGAGTAGATATTACCACCCAAGCTCTTTTTAAACTCAACTCATGTTAACTACGTTTGATATTCTTTTCAACAATCGTCTAACTACATTTTTATCATTCGCATAATACATATCGTTCCTCGTTTTATGATAATGCGATTCTCAACATCATCTCCGAATACATTAATTAATAATGGCACAACTTTATTAACGTACATTTTATTTATATTGCGAATGAAGAATGCGATGTTGTGATAAATTTTACAACACGATAACAATTTGTAAACTTTTTACGGTTTATCGATTGCGTAAGGCTGGAGTGGTACATCTCTCTAACAGATTTTTGAATATATAAAAGTTTATGCCTTGCTCTTATGGTATTTATAAACATTGGAAAGGCTAGTGAAATTTTGATAACTTAACACCTAGATTTGAAATATAAATTGTTAAGATTAAAAACATTACATTTTTAATTATCAAATTTTACGAACAAATTCTAAGCGTTAAACTCGCTAGATTTGAATAAAAGTATATTTGAAAGCTTTTTGAATCGTGTATTTTTGTCATATATGGTTTTATAAGATCTGGATAAGTAACGACATAACATACGAGTAAGAGGACTGTATAAAAAAATATGTACCAGTAAATATAGAGACATGTGGAACGAATACAATTGAAATTCTGCTTACCCGGGTTTTGTTGGTTCACTTTTTTTAAACAAGTGTCAACAGCCAGCGGAATACTGTTTTAATAAAGATGAAAAAACATCTTCAAGTACAAGTAGATATAACCTCTAAAGTTATCACTGCTATTTGCTAATAAATTCACTTGATCCTCCAAACGTATTTTACATTAAATAATATAAATTAATTTGAAATACAATAAGACGTTACAGTAAATAATGATGTTGAATACTTCCATTTCTTAATATTGGTTTACTTAGGTGTTGCTGTAAAGTTACAATAACTTAGTTTTCAGATACCGTTGTTTTAAACTTGTCTTCCTTATTATAAATTAACTCTTATATAAAATCATCGACGTGTTGTGATTTGTAAACATCATATTCTTCCAATCACTTTAATAAAATAATCTAAGTAATTTATTATTAATATACATTACAGTTATTTATTAAACTAATGGAATTATTTGTTAAACAGCAATTTATGACACTCTGCGATGTATGAATAACTGCAACTATTTGTATGCTAGATTTTGTAAATGAAAAATTACTTGACAATTTCTTATTATAAGGTATTACTTATACTCTTATGTGGATTTATTTTTTATTTAATGCTAATTTGAGTTAGGGTTGCAACGAATCTCCGCTTCTTCACTCGCAAGTGCGGAACTATCGCAAGAGATGTAACACCGCATCCGCTTCCGCTTCCGTTATTTCTTATGCGGAGTTATAACGAAGGTTAATTTACGTCTTTAACGCGAGTGGGGCGATTAGGTATCGTTTATGCGGCCCCCGCGGCCGTGATATGTCAACTAACTATAATTGTTATACATTACATTTGCATAATAAACTGTATCTTGTAATTATGTACCAATCTGTATTTTGAATTAACATAGTTTTAGTTTTTATTTCTTTAATAAATCGCAATTAATATTTTATTATTGACCTCCGCTTCCGCTTCCGTTAACCTCCGCTTCTGCAGGAATCCCTTCGCCTCCGCATCCGGATCCACTTCCGTTAAAATCGCCTTCGTTACAACCCTAATTTGAATGTATATGTTGCTTCAATTATGTACGTAATTATAATTATGAATGCGTTTGAGGAACACCCGCACTTAAACACAAATAACCTAGTACAAACATAAAGTATAATACCGTTAAAAATTAGATAACTGTTTATCGCAACTATTTTTTACTAAATGGTATAAAATATCAAGATACTACTATTGTTTCTTGTTAACACAAATTATTTTAATAAATGAAACCGCATGTAAAAGCTATATTGTTTAAATTAGATATATGTTACGGACATGAGCTATATGATAATTATATTCGCAATTAATTAGCCTTTTGTGAAACGCATAGCAATAGTGACGTATTGCGACTTTTGTATTTTTGTTTAACTATTGTAATACAATTTGTTATTTTGAGAAAATATTTAACCGTGTTTTTGAATACATGTACTTCATGATTCCATCCCATAAACAACTAATAGAACACCATAGACTATATATGATTGCTAAAACATTTTTTTAAAACATCCATCCAGTATCACGAATTTACATTCGTTCTTTTCATTTCGGAACACAACTATTGTAAAATAAATGTACGTTATAATTAAGTAATGGAGCACAAATCTGCCTTCTATTTTCAATCTTCACGAAAACAGCAGTATGAAAAGGACTTTGTAATGGAAGTGAACAGAACATCTCTGTGATAAACACTAGCTGCTAGTGCACGTATAGGAGTCGTGTATGTCTCGTACTTACTCGAGATCTGGTAACACCGCAGTCTCATGGGTTGCCCAGCGTTTTGTCATAACATTACCGTTATCGATTATACATTATTGTATTTATTCACTTTATTAACATGTTTATTATGTCTTTAATAAAAACAATTGCTTATTATTGTATTTTTTATGATCCCCCAAATTAATTTTAAAAAACGTAAACGCTGATTAAATTATTAAGATCTAACTCATCAAAAGTGATAACTAGGTTTTCACTTTTAACTTATCGTCCTATAACGTTAATGCAATGGCTTCAAAGCCTGCCAAAAGCCAAATGGAACTGCTTGTTCCTTCAGTAAGTACTTGAACAGTCTTATTTAAAACCTGCAAACGAATTAGTAAGAATATATGTTATTTCGTTATTTTAGTACAGTACAGTAACCTCTGAGACGTCGAGTATACGTAAGTAAACACAAGCTTTGCGCAATCAGATAAAATTAACATAACCTTTAACTGCCTCGATAAGATAATATCTCAACCATACATATAATTATGTATGGTTGAGATGTTAAGATGTTATCAACTATACACTTTATGTTAGTTTATAATATTCTCAACAACCACTAATACAACTTATCATCAAGTTAACAAACCGCATTTGCATCTATCTTAAATTCTAAAACCATAATTATTTGCACAACGGTCAGAGTATTCTATACCTTGTCAGTTGTGCGCTGACCTCGATTTATACTACAAATGACGGTTGAAGACGTTGAAATATATAACTTTATAATTGTTTAATATGTTAATCAATGCCAAAGGCGTTGATAATTTTGGAGGCGATAGCGGCAGAGCCGCGCGAGCGGGCGAACTGGAATGGCGTCATGAGACGTGTTGGACAACATTAATTTTATATCTACTCTATTACTTTAAGTTTCACGCCATGGCTTTTGTGATGAGAAAGTTGTTTGTTAATTTAAAAAACGTGAACAAATGTAGAAAATTGTGTCTGTTTGTGCAAAGTGTAAGTGTTTTATTATTACCTTGGATATTGCCGTGTTTAAACAGTTTTTACCATATCAATATGTCAACAAAATATACTTTTTGGTAAACATAAAACATTTTTGTAGAAATAATAATACCAATTGTACTCGACAGAATAAACTTAACCTAAGTTTTCTAACGTGTTGTAAATAAATTAAATCAAACTACATACGAGTACTTATATAGATATTTCATCAACCGGTATGCGAAGTGTTCTAAGCCGGTTATAAAACTTGGAGTGGTCAAACTTTATTGGTACGAACGTGACGTTCGACTTCACTTTTTGCCCAACATCTCGCTCTCTCGCATACGGGTAAGATAACGCGCACAAAACAAACCCGAAAGTTATCAAAAGTAAATAATAAATTACGTTATCGCTTGATAATATCGTGCCTACTAATAAAATTATCGCAATAAAACAGTAAATGGGCGATTTTGATTTAATGATGATGATGATGATGATGATTTAATGATAAAAAAATATCACCTTGACATTTAGCATTTGGAATTGATTTTTAATTAGCTACCTACCTATAAGAATTATTTTACAGCTTTAAATTGCATGTAACTATGTAGTACCCATAATTTTGTTCTTTACATCGTATTACAAATACAAAAGTTGAGCGAAGATCGATCTCGAAGATTATTTTCTTAAATACACGACTGATTAATAAATCTTTTAAACATGTTGTTCAGTAAAGAAATACACGAAACACTGTAATGCTAAGGGGTTGTCCACCACTGGCTGATAAAGGCTCAGATAGCTTAAAAGTGACGTCACAGTCAGATAAGGGACCAAAATCCGATATTTCCATGACATATTTTACACGTTTATTTGTCATTAGACAATTTGCAATATGGTGGGACAGGTCTTTGCTCATTTAAATATTACTTTAGAAAATAAATAAATGGTTTGTTTTTACTTCTATTCTATTACTTTAATGTGCACTTCTTTTAAAAGGTGTACTGTACTGTACTAACAATCATTAAATGTCATCTATTAATAGTACAAATAAATCTTTAATATATTCAGTTGATTAAATCGTTTTTGATGCTAATAACATGGTTCTTAATCAATGTAAACAATTAAAAATAAAATTCATGGAGTATTACCACCACTCTTGATTATTATCCAAAAGATAAGGAAACGTTTACAAGTTTGCATATTTTATCTACAATCTACTTATTTTCATACGTTTCTTTTTTCAAATTTCAGAAAAGGCTTCAAGCGGTGCGCTATTGCGGTGCCATACATCTTCATTCAATAGAAGATAACAAAATAAATCATAGATATTTTCACACGACAAAGGTTTTAAATAAAACCGTTGCATTCAAATTATCAGACATTGGGGAAGGCATACGAGAAGTGGTTATCAAAGAATGGTAATAGCGATTGCATTAGATATCAATTTAAAATAAAATCTAAGTATAAAAGGTCTGAAAAAATTTTGGGTAAACGGAATCAATTTAAACCATGTAAAATGTTCATGAACAAAAAAGTAACCACTCAAGCAAGAGTTCATTGCAGTCATAAAATTTTAAATTTAAAACACGTTAACATACTAATCAACTTGAATAGGTCTTACATATTAAACAGTTTAGATAATCAGAATAGAGTAAATTAATTCCTATATTTTGGCATTACGTAGTCTAAGATACAAATATGTAGCGTATCTTTATCAATTTCTTATCACTTTCGTGTGTTCTATCGCGACCCCTGCAAATAACTTACGATAAAGTTTTGTTGTTAAGTAATTTGTTTAAAACTATCTCAAAGACATGATGAAATTATAATTTCAATTATTTTCCTTGGTTAGTCTGAAAATTTGTGAGAACGTTTTCGTAACGTTATAAAACAGATTTGTGAAAAAAGATTGTCCAACATCTTATACAAATAACATCTAACCCTCTGTATTTATTTTAGGTTCATCAAAGTTGGTGACAAAGTCCAACAATTTGACAACATTTGCGAAGTGCAGAGCGACAAAGCAGCGGTGACGATCACCAGTAGGTACGATGGTGTCATCACCAAAATATACCACGAAGTTGATCAGACGGCACTCGTCGGACAACCACTTGTTGATATTGATCTCGATTCTACACCTGATGAAGGTAACTTTTATATTAAACGGTTTAACTTTTGAAACATTTCTATTTAAAGTAAATAGATTCTTGAGTACCCAATAAATCATCACAGTTGCTTACAAAATGTGTACGAAACGACTTGGTATTGAAAAGTCCTAGTCTCTGATATTTAACCAAGAAAATTTACACATTTTAAGAGATCTATCATATAAGAGTCTAGTTACATCAATCATATTGATTATTTTTTTGGAATGTAATTTTCAGAGTCATCCTCAGATTCAGACACGGAAAATGAGGTCGAAGTCTCCAAAACACAAAGTCAAACAACTCAGAAAGTCAAAGTACTCACTACACCGGCTGTGAGAAGAATTGCAGCTCAATTTAAAGTAAAAAACGGTTCCCTTGAATAATTTAAATTTAAATGAATTAATGAGAATTACTTCTTAATTCTGTTTCTAGGTAGATTTAGGTACCATCAATCCAAGTGGAAGAAACGGAAGAATACTCAAAGAAGATGTTTTAGCACATTTGAATATATCAGCTGATAAATCTAATGAAATTCCCAGCGCCCTTTCCGTGGAAGCGAAACCAATGCCTATATCTATTGGCAGTGTTAAAATTGAAGAAATCTTAGAAGATAAAATAGTACCAATTACTGGATTTACAAAAGCCATGGTTAAATCCATGACAGAAGCAATGGTAAGGCAGAAATAAATTTTCCAAAAAATATTGTAAGCAATAGTAATTTGTTATGCATGTCAATTTTAAAACTTTTACAGAAAATACCTCATTTTGGACTCAGTGATGAATACGATGTTACAAAATTGGTAGAATCGAGAGAGAGTTTGAAAGTTATAGCTCAGGAGAGAGGAGTGAAGCTCACTTATATGCCCATTATTATTAAAGCCTCATCATTAGCTCTAACTGCTTACCCAGTTTTAAACAGCAGCTTAGACGCGGCCTGTGAAAATCTCACTTACAAAGCTAATCATAACATTGGTATAGCAATGGATACGCCTAATGGATTAGTAGTACCAGTTATAAAAGTAAGCATTACTTACAAAACTTATTGATTTTGACACTGCGTACCTTTATTTGATTAAAGTGTTTTCTTCATATCATTGTTTACAATAATTTCAGAATGTACAACATAAAACCATTCTTGATATTGCAAGAGAACTAAATATTTTACAAGAAAAAGGCACAAAAGGTCAACTTGGATTAAATGATTTATCAGGAGGAACTTTCACGTTATCAAATATTGGCATTGTGAGTAAAACAATGATTATTGTGTATACGTTTTTATTACTTTTATTATAATTAGTTACAATAAATTCCATTAGGTTATATGTTTTATTTCAATATGAAATTTCAAAATATTTTTTAGGTCGGAGGCACTTATGCAAAGCCAGTGATCGTCCCACCGCAGGTTTCCATTGGCGCCCTCGGAAAAATACAGGTACCAAAATTACATTTAATTTTTTTAATTGAAAATCCAAGTATTTTCGCTACTTTTAATTGCAATTTGCCATTTTTACTAGTAGTACCAAAGATGTTATTTTTATATTTTGAAAACGGTGTTAAAGATACTACCCAATTTTAGTCGAATATCCATTTATAGATTTTTCTAGAATTAAATAAGATCTTCAATTGCATATTTTAGTTGTTATAATTATTACCCACATTTATTTACTTAATGGTTCCTTTTTTGCAGGTATTACCCCGATTTAATTCCGAGGGCGAAGTGACTAAATCTCATATACTGACTGTGAGTTGGTCGGCGGACCATCGTGTGGTGGACGGAGTTACGATGGCGAGATTTTCAAACGCCTTGAAACAATACCTCGAAGATCCATACAAACTTTTACTAGACATATAATTTATCGCCATACATATGTGTTCATATAATTATTTTGTATCTTTTACACGTTTCTATTACGTTACACTTTAAATGTTAATGTTACGAACTCAATATGGTATTGTTATTAAAATAATGGTTCAACTTATTGTTACTTTGAATTAAATATCTATCGTCGCAGAACTTCAAAACGTGTTATTTTAAAGTAAGCTATGGTCCACTCTGGAATGCAGTTCGGTGTGTATTCGCGATGAAATCTCGCGAAAATCTCAGTAAATATCAACGAGTCGACGGCATTTATCGGTGTCCATTTGAGAGCCAGAAAAGACATATCAACATCGCAGAACTTTTTATCTGGAACCAAGAAAATATTAACCCAGATAAAATAGATTCTGTGGGCAACTACTAATCTACAATTTGGATAAAAACTTTGATAAACGGAACGTGATAAATAAAAACGTGAAAAGAATAAGTTAAAAATTGATAACTATCATGATTAGAATAAAAAAAAGTAACTTTTTGGACTGAATGTGATTTATCTAAATAAATTTAATAAATTTGAACATTTCATTCATATGTAAGTACCGGCAATCCGTATGAAGTACACTTTCCTTGGCGAAGATATCTGTATATCTTCGTGTTTGAGTGCTAGCAGTGCGCGGTGCCGATTATTCCAGTTCCGCTCCAATTCCCTGAGCAGACTTAAACGCGCAGGCTTCGTAAGAAGACCGTTTAGGTCCTCATACTTGCCGTCACTTATTACTTGAGTTACTCGCGATATTGCCTAAACATATTATGAATATCACTCTTAAGGTAAAGCCGTAAATACTAAAAAATAGACAGAAGGAACACATGACACACATACCTGTTTAGTACCAAATTTGAATTCCTTTTCAGTAAATGATGGATCCCATACACTTCTCAACACACTAAAATCGATTTTTGTCATCAGCCATCTAAAGGGATTTTGCAGTAATATCAATTTAGGGACACGTTTTTTTTTCCTATTTGGATCTTTTTTAGCGACCGTAAAAGTTTTAAGTAAGTCCAGTGAGAATGTTGATTGTTGTAGCAGATTGTGTTTGTTGTTTCTGTTTGGATCCAACTGGGAGAAATTTAATTGAAACTTTTGTTGGCCTAAATATGAACTGTTGCTGCATGTTGTTTTGCATGGGGAAGGTATTAATCCGGTATTAAAGCTGATGCACTTATACGATTTTTTAATTAATGCCAAAGATGTTGGTCTAGGCAAAATCCTGTTGATTAAAAACAATACTTTGTTTTCAATCTGAAAATAAATAGACATATAATTATAATTGTTCCTAAGTAAATAAATATTGAGATAGCTTCAAACGTAAAAACTTTTTATGAACTCCGATATGCATATTTACCATTTCCCCATAGCAAAACTTTGAATTTGTTACAAAAATATTTTTTTCAACGCATTTTTAAAATTTTCTTAAGATATGTCGAATAAAATTTATTTTCCTAAAAACCACCGAATATGACAACATGTTATTATGGACTGACTTTTTGTTTCAAAGTCAGATATTAATCAATTTAATATTTTTAAACTGTACGTGCCAATTATTTACAGCCAACTCGAAATGTGCATAAGTAGGTGCTCTATTGCGACTCCGGATGATAGTAAAACAAGTTTTCGCTCAGGACTCCGTCCGCGTGTAATTAAAATAAACAAAAATGAGTTGTCTATGTGTTCTTCTAGAATATCCTCTGCATTCACACCAAATTTCATCAAAATTCGTTCAGCCGTTTAAGCTACAAACTCTAACGAACATTCATCCGTCCATCCATCCATCCATTTAAACTTTCGCATTTATAATATTAGTATGAAGTATTAAGTGTGAAGTATGAAATAAATAATTTCGTTTATAACTCATCTGGAAAGGTATCAAGAGATACCAAGGTGACTTGCCAGTCTAAGAAAAGTTCAGATGGATTCCTATTAGCGTGGCACTAATCAAAACGTCGGCATTTACTATACACGTGTGATATATATATATTATATCTATACTAGTATAATAAAGAGAAAAGATTTGTATTTTTGTACGTATTAAAATAACTCTAAAACTACTAGACCCATTTAAAAAAAAATTGTACCATTGAACTTCTTTACAAAAATTCGGCGCGAAAGAAGTCGCGGACAAAAGGTACCAACAAATACTTGTTGTGCTCGACTTTCCCAATGATTTTCACTAGAAGAAAAATAAACCGTGCGAATAAAGATACCGTTTTAACTAATCTAGCTCCAGAGTAATTGGAAACCAACGTCATGTTACAAAACCCCAGCGCTAAAGTCTTACATTTGAGTATGATTCACTACGAGCTGTTTACTTGAATTTAATTAACAATTATTTGCCGGTCAATATAAAAGGGAATTTTCAGTACAATAACATAATCAATCAGAAGCGTGCTAACGAGTAAGTTTGTTTTATGTTAAAACTGATATATGTTATTTTGAGAATTTGTAAAACACTAATAATACAGTGACTTTTTACTGAGGAGACATTTAAAATTATTGATTTTTGAGTGATTGAGATACATGTTTCGTAAAGGTTACATTTTTTTCCTTAATTTACCATACTTTTCTCAGTCTTTTTAATTTCTGTTGTTTTCCTATTACTGTGTGTTTACCGACATCAAAAATATGCTAAATTACAGTTGTACAAGTATTAATGGATTTCAAATCAAGCAATCATAAAGTTATCGGTAAAGGCGTGAAAAACACAGAGGTATATTTTTAAAAAATATATGTCAAGAATACGCAAAACGTTTTGCTTTTGGAGACGACCTTGACCACTGACCTTTGCAGTCAATTGTTTGCATTATGTTTGTTGTATTGAATTTAACATTTTTTTAAGCGTGGTCATTTAATAAGTTCCTTTTAATAATAAAGCCATGAAGATTATTTTGGTGGAATCAAGGGTCTAGAGTGATTGGAGTTTTTTTTCGTTTTATGTTTTCTCACGGGTAATGGAGACTGCCTGCAGGAAAATGAACCGTTTATTGGTGTTTAGTTACTTTAGTGTTTACCTTTCACAGTATTTATAATTATACTAGATAAATACACTACATGCGAGTCACATGCAAGTCAAGGTCTCATGCACACAATTATTATATTCCATAGTTTCCTGTCATAGTAACAACAGCTAACTTAAATTCATTTTCTATGTTTGAACATTAAAAAATGTTCTATTATCTAAAAGATTATCAACCTAAAAAGTAATTAATATCAAAATCACCGCTACGTTATCTTAAAACAGTCAACAGTATTATCTTTGCAAATCAATTTAATCAAGTAATATTGATAATATATTACAAAATTATTATCAGGTGAAAAAAGTATAAATAAGCATCTCTCTTCTAGGAACTGCTAAATACGTATTTTATAAAAGTCAGGTTAGTTAACTTGGTCTTAATTTTTTGTTTAATAATTATTCTATTGAATAAAATAAATTCATTTTCGAACAAAGCAGGGCATTGTAATCGTGTTTTAGTTAGAAACCGGTCGTGTTATTTTTATATTAAAAATCAAAGTTTTCTTTGTCATATTCTAATTCAGCAACTATGAGCGCAGAATCGTATATCATTAGTGGTTTTAGGTTAAAAAATTAAAATTTCTTAATTACTTAACTATTACATTCTGCGGTATGTGCGTCACACTACAAAATGAGAGATTTATACCACACGGGCGTAATAATCCTACACGGATGCATTGCTGAAAGCTCGTATGGTATAGCTCTTACGATTATTTTAACCAAAAAGTTTGTTTTCAGCGATATGTGGGCCGCACTGCTCGGTGTCCTGAGCCTCGCTGTCTTCGGGCAAGCATGTACCCCCAGCGTGACGACTGTGAGCGGCTCTCACGCGCCCGTCACTGTCTGCTCCGGTGCTATGATCTTCGCCGACGACTTCACCGAATTCGACCTCGAGAAGTGGCAACATGAAAATACTCTTGCAGGAGGCGGTGTAGGTATTTAAAAAAAAACATAAAGACTTCTTGAGAACCATCTTCTATGGGAAGGCGGTCAAAAAAGTTAACAAGACACTAGTAGAAAAAATAACATATGCCATTTTTTCCAGAACTGGGAATTCCAATACTATAACAACAACCGCACCAACTCGTTCGCTCACAACGGACTTCTGTACATCCGTCCCTCTCTGACGTCTGATCAATTTGGCGAAGCTTTCCTCTCCAGCGGCCATCTAAACATTGAAGGGGGTGCACCGGCAGACAGGTCAGTTGAACAGATAACAATCCATACCAAAAGTCGTCTTCTAATAATAAATAGGACCTCAGATGCCAAAGATTGTACACCAGCATTCGTGACAAAAATAAATGTTTCTTAATAGATGTACCAATCCTCAATGGTACGGTTGCGAGCGCACAGGCACTCCGAGCAACATCCTTAACCCGATCAAGAGCGCACGCATCCGCACTGTCAACTCGTTCAGCTTCCGCTACGGCCGCGTCGAGGTGCGCGCCAAAATGCCCGCTGGAGACTGGCTATGGCCCGGTACGTTATACACTTATACAATTATACACCTAACAAGGTATTATTCTGCACCACAAACTGCGGAACACTGGACAAGTCCATTCTTGCAAACGACGATTACTAACTCTATTTATGGTTGGTTTTTTCCAGTTTGTTAAATAATCGACACCTAAATATCACATGTTGATACTACAAATGTCTGGTGTGACTAGACTGACTAGATAGACTGCTAGCATGCTTTGCACTCAGTCAAATTAAAGTAACTTTTAAAACAAATCTATTGTTAAAAATTCAATTGATATCATTTCAGCAATTTGGCTAATGCCGGCTTACAATTCATACGGTACATGGCCGGCGTCGGGCGAGATCGATCTGGTGGAGTCCCGGGGTAACCGCAATATGTTTAGTAACGGCGTTCACATCGGCACCCAGGAAGCCGGATCAACCTTGCACTTCGGCCCCTATCCTAACCTCAATGGCTGGGAACGTGCTCATTGGGTGCGTAGGAACAGTGCGGGATATGACAGAGCTTTCCATCGTTATCAGCTCGAATGGACCCCAGGTGAGGAATTTCGTATTTCTTACTATGTTCTCTCAATTTAAATTTAATTTATAAGTATGTAATAATCTCCTTTTTCTTATATTACTATTTTGGTGGTCATATATTATGTCAACTTTTGTTAGCGTACTTGAGCTATATTTCTTTCTTGAGTTTTTCTTTGTTTTCATTTGCAGACTTCTTGCGATTCAGCATTGACGATGTGGAACTAGGGCGAGTGACCCCAGGCAGCGGCGGTTTCTGGCAGCTCGGAGGTTTCGATAGACAAAATGTTGAGAATCCCTGGCGATACGGCTCCAAGATGGCACCTTTCGACCAAAAGGTACGCTTTCATGGATTTTTAAATTTAAACTTTCAACATTTTTTACCTAAAGTAATTCAATGGACTTTTCAACTGTGTTGTAAAATATTTCATATAGCCTAAAATTGTCTGATTATTGTACATGGGGTAAAAAAGGCGATAGTTTATATGTCATTCTAAACAGTTGAGTACCTATTAATTATCCGTTTACCATAAAGTAAAAAAAAAGATACATTTAATTTACGTTAATCGTATATTTTCAGTTCTATCTCATAATAAACTTGGCGGTCGGTGGTACCAACGGATTCTTCCCTGACGGTGTTTCCAATCCTGTTCCCAAGCCTTGGTGGAACGGATCGCCCACGGTAATTAAATCACTTACTTCTTTAATTGTATAAAAAAAAATAAAAACCCATACATGTTTTGTTGAACATATTTCCAGGCTTTAACCGACTTCTGGAATGGACGATCTGGATGGCTGCCCACATGGAACTTGAACTCTAACGACGGACAAGACGCATCGCTTCAAGTTGACTATGTACGAGTATGGGCACTCTAGACGTTGCTTACAATGACTCAAACATGACAAAGTTGTACTGTAATTTGTGGCATTTATATAAGTAAATGAATTTTAAAAAAAAACTTTTTTGTCGTATGATATTATAGTAAAATCATGTCTTTCAAGATGTTCCTAATCAAATTATCTTGAAATTTTAACGTCAAAAAATCTTTTAATACGTGTGTAAACTTTTAAAATAAGACGCCAGTAGTTAAATCAGGTCTTTATTAATTTTCAAGAGACTTTTACAAAGCCACTCTTCGGTATCTCATCACAGAACATAATAAATAAGTATACATTTTTAAATCAATCCATATGGTAGAAACGCGGGCTTAAATATTGCTGAGGTCTGTTGTTGGAGAGTGGTGTTGAGGGCGCCATGATGTAAGGCGGTATACGCCTTGTGTCCGAGAACGGACTCACTCGGGAATAATAACGCCGTTCTATTACCTGGAAAAAGAAATAGCGGACATAATCATTTTTTCTATACTAATATAATAAAGCGTAAACACACTACTTATAAAGCATGTCAGCAATTACAGCATATTTGGGAATAATTCTTCTTTTAATAAAAAGCCACTCACTACTTCATTTACGCCACACTTTAGGCTATGTTTCCATGCTATAAAATTTACGGAGTAAATATTTGGACAAAACCGTCATGAGGGAAAGAGACAAAAACTACAAGCTGCCAACATCAAGAAAGCAAGGTTGCCATAGTAACGGTAATTCAATATCAAAGGCCTTCGTTATCATTCGTGCATTTGAATTTTGACATTAGCAATTGAGAATTTCACAAATGTAAACAATAAAATCTAGTTTTTATAATTTCATGTGGATGAAGTCACACAGGGACAGCTTGTTATTGAATAAAAGTGAAAGTTTTTATTGCATTAGTAATATTAAAAAACTATGTGTGTATCATCTGTATGCAGGTTCATTACATGGCTATGTATTTTTTAATATTAAATACTCACCTTATCAAAAAATCTGGTTAACTTCACTGAGTTGCTTGTCCCAGGTGCCAGAGATCTAAAACATTTTAAAAGCATTGTCTAATACTTTGAAGATTGAAACAAAAAAGGGTAAAAAAATGATTAAATAAACTAACCTTGCCTGAAAGCAATTGACAAATATTTCATCTGCCCCGCATTGCTCTGCGATGCTACTAGACAGCCGTCTATATTGATTTTTCCTTTGTTTTTCCTCTGCCAAGTCAAACTTTGTGCCAATCACTAATATAGGTATCTTAAAACAAATACTAACATGGTACTCTCTTTTGATTTATATGAGTACTTAAAATAATATTAAATTGGTTGGAACAAGTTTTAGAAGAAGTAAAAACAAATGTAATTAAAACTGTGTGTTTTATTTTATTAGTTTACCTGTGTTGAACCAAGAAACTGTTCAGGATCAACATCAACCTGTTGGAATGTAGGATTAGAGCTGTCCTGATTCAAAATTTCAGTCAGCCACTTCTGTAAATTTACTTGACTCTTCCTATTAGTTAAATCATGGACTAAAATTATCCCTAAAAGTTTATAAAACAAATCTTATAATATTGTTTACATTTTTCATAGATGTTATTAACTTTTTTGTTAAACATACCATGAGTTGGCTGATAGAAAACATTTCGAGTATTCCTATGGCCGTTTGAACCTCCAACATCCCAAAGTTCTACAAAGAAAGTATTTTGTGCTTGGGTTCCTTCCTTGAATCTGTGTAACTTGACTTCTACAGAACAGCCTACTGTCCATCCTGGTGATATCAACGGCTTGTTGTGTGCAATTAAATATGTCAAAGATGTTTTGCCAACCCCTACAATAATGTTTATTATTTAGTATAACAAATTCATAATACTTTATCAGTAAGACTTTCTACTATATGTTATTGAAAAAATAATAATTAAAAAGAAAAAGAAACTGTTTAAGTGTAGGTTTATTTAAAATAAACTTGTACTATAACGCTTTAAAACCAGATGAGTTATTTATATAATTACAGATGTAACATTATAATCTTAAAACATAAAATAACATACGAAATATAAGTAGTTGAATATTTCTAAGTTTTACCGCCAAAAGTCAACAAATAGATTTCAATGTTGCCTAACCTGATGTGTCATGGCCACTGTCAAGTAGCAAATGGTGCCTCCTGTTATGTGTTTATTATTGTAATGGTGTACAAAATGGGAAAATAACGTGTTTTATGTGTAAAACGCAAATGTAAGGAGTGCACATTACCGGAGTCTCCAAGAACAACCACCTTCACTTTCTCAATCGCCGCCATTCACAGTCACAGGTAATACTTCTTTCTAAATATTTTGACGTCCTCTCAGCCGGTCCTCTAAATTAACCTTACCAACATAACAAATAAAGACGTCTAACTTCAAAATTCGTTCATAAACTTAAGTAGAAAATCTTTCATAAGTTTTTATTACCTTTTCTACAATAACTGATTAATTTATAATAAATGAATCGTTATAAAAACTCACGATTCATTTATTATAATTATTACTTAAGTATGATTATAATTAACCGAGTAATGTATACAAACGAATAGTTTTACTTTTATCTAAAATTTAATTTCACTTTGATATGGTGTGGATTGTTGTGGAAACGCGTTATGCAAAATATTTCAGTTCTTGGTGTTGGACATGCAATTTCCTGTCCTACTTGGTCCTACTAAAATAATCTGTGACTGTGTTTCTTTATCTGTTTGATATTACTGTACTTACTGTACTGAATTTAACTAAAATCAATAATAAATAATGCGTCCGCCATTGTGTAATCTATGTGGTATTTTTTACATGTTGTACAAAGTTTAGAGTTAAAATGCAACGATCTAATAATAGGAACATCGAAGTACTACTAATTTTATAACAATGACCGTATTTTACAAAGTTGTAATCGTGCTTCTTTTTGCCAAATCAGTGCATCCTTATTGTGGTCCATACAATGGACAAATTTGTAAGAATTACACCACTGGTTACGTTTGGTATAATCGAACAGGCGGCCTCGAAAATGAAAAAATCACAACAAGTCTTTGGAATGAAATGATTTCAACATTAACTGAACCATGTCGCAGCAGGGCCGAGAAATTATTATGTGCTTATGCCTTTCCTAAGTGCATTGACAAAAACGGAACTGGATATCATGGATTACCTCTTTGTTACGAAGATTGTATGGCTGTAAAAATGCAATTTTGTTATAATGACTGGGTCGTAATTGAAGAACAAAAACGAAGAGGAGTGTTCTTTGAATCGAGAGGTCATTTTCGACTTCCGGAATGTGAAAAACTACCAAGACTATCCGGAAAGGGTACTGAAGTGACTTGCAACAATGCAGGCATAACAGACATGGATTATAGTCAGGTAACAACATCATGTATCAAAGGAAATGGTCGTTATTACCAAGGAACTATGAATGTTACAGAAAATGGACTAGCTTGTCAAGCTTGGGAAGCACAGTACCCACATCAACACACAAGACCACCATTAGTGTTCCCAGAAGTACAAAATGCAACAAATTATTGTAGAAATGCAGGAGGAGAGGAGCGAAAACCTTGGTGCTACACTATGGACCCAGACATAAGGTGGCAGCATTGTAACATACCCTTATGTGCCAATTCAAGTGAAGAATTTGACAATATAGATGGACCAAATATTGTTATGGAGAACTATTTTACACCAACATTTGTTTTATTTTTATCAATTGGTGGCCTTGCATGCATCTTAGGTATTGCTTCTGTAACTCTACTGTGCCACTATTTTTTGAAAAGCCATTATTCTAAATTTAGTATGTCAAGCCGTAGAAACATGCAAAATATGGATATTGATTTAGACAAATTGCCGAGTAATCTTGCCTATCACACGACTGGAGCACAGCTCAATCCGAAATTAGAGAAATTAGAATTTCCAAGAAATAACATTATTTATATCAGAGACCTGGGGCAAGGTGCCTTTGGGAGAGTTTTTCAAGCGAAAGCCCCGGGGTTGGTTCCAGATGAAGAGTTTACACTTGTTGCAGTGAAAATGTTAAAGGATGAAGCTTCTCATGACTTGCAGCTAGATTTTGAAAGAGAAGCATGTTTACTGGCTGACTTTGAACATCCAAATATTGTGAAACTACTGGGTGTGTGTGCTATTGGACGTCCCATGTGTTTATTGTTTGAGTATATGGGGAAAGGTGATTTGAATGAATACCTGAGAGCTTGTAGTACAGCTACAAACTTCCCTCCAGTTGTAGAGAATAGGGAAGACTTACGATTACTTGCGACACCACTTAGCCATTTAGATCTATTACACATTGCTAGACAAATAGCATCAGGAATGGTTTATCTATCCGATCGAAAATTTGTCCATCGTGATTTAGCCACAAGAAATTGCCTTATTAATGATGATATGGTTGTCAAGATTGCCGATTTTGGATTATCTCACAAAATATACTTACAAGATTATTACAAGGGAGACGAGCATGATGCTATTCCTGTGCGATGGATGCCACTAGAGAGTATTTTATATAATAAGTATACTTTAGAGTCTGATGTGTGGGCATATGGAGTTTGTTTATGGGAAATATTTTCCTTTGCTTTACAACCTTACTTTGGAATGACGCATGAAGAAGTTGTAAGGTTTTTAAAAGATGGTAATGTTCTTGCCTGCCCTGATAATACTCCACGCTGTATATATGACCTGATGAAACAATGCTGGAGCCACCATCCCAGTGACCGCCCCAACTTTAGAATAATATATCAAACTCTTGATAACATACAAATGATTATTGAGAGAACTCATTCTGAATAATTTGTGGTTATTAATTTATTTATTAGAATAATAGATTTTTGTATGGATTTAAATGGTTTAATGTTTAAATTGTAGCATTTACAACTTTATTGCCTAAGTGATGAAAACATGCACATTTTTAATTATATTAAATCAGCACTTTTGCTGGAAAATGACAGTACATTTAATTAAGGATTCAATTATATCCAGAAAGATGTGACTATGCCATGAGTATATAAATTGTTTTGAATTGATGTCCAACCTAACTTTATAACCAAGCAATACAGTGTAATACAGAGAACTTTTTGCTTCAAACAGTTTTTCTGGTCTGCCAAAAATGGCATAAGCTAGGAAGAAAGTATTAATCATGAAACAAAACTATTATTATATGAAGAAAAGTTATTAAAAAAAAATAACAGTTCGGACTTCACACAAAACATGTTTGAATTTGATAAAATGTCTTATGAGGCTCATGAATTGGTATTAAAAGAAATAAACTATGCTGTAAGTGATGGTGTAATTAAGACATCAGTATTATAAATGTCATCATTTAAAATGTGTTTTGTCAATAAAAGAAATTAATTATGATAAAATGGACAACATTGTTAAAATGTTGCTTCCAAAATATTTAACTGTAATTTTCAATTTTATGTTAAAATGAACATGTGTTAGAAAAGGAATTGGGATGTTTTTAAATCTTTTATTGTTTTATATTCATCAAGTAACAAGAACTAAATTGTTTTTTTTTCTTATGCAGCTAGTGTACAGCAAATGCTGAGTATTATTGATGTTTTATTCATTAATCATTTGTTATTTTTGCAAGACTGAATTTGGTTAGCTAATATTGTTACTTTATTCTTCAACCAATTAATACTGCCAATTGATTTTTACTGAAATAAGAGTATTTTGCTATTTTTATTAATTGTTTCATTTCATACCTACTGAAAAAATTATAAAAGAACGAAAATAGTTATGTTCAATTAATTTTTCAACTGGACACAAATTATAGACACAAGTGAGCATGACTATCTCAACAATTGGTCGAAATAACCAGTGCAGAATAATCGCCATGAAAGTCGAAGTCCTATCAACGTAGCCTTTAATTAAAAATACTGCATAGAAATTAGAAACCGATTTATTACACTCTACGTCTTGTCTGAAAGAAACTCTGTGCGTCTACAAATAAATATTTACATGTGGAGCTAGAATGTTTACAACATTCTATGAATGAACTATTTGTTAAAGTTTAATTATATTGGGTGGGATAGAATCTTTGTTCTATAATTATTCCTACGATGATTAAGTAGTTTTCGATTCTCAAACGAGTAGACCCGCAATATTCTTGATTTAATTATCGGTCCATTTTGAAGAAAGCCTAACTCCCCTCTGAAACACGATTACAATAGTTTTCTATACTTAAAGTTTTAGCTACAATGACCGAGGAACGACTTGTAACAGAGGTGCCGAGTAGCTTGAAGCAGCTTGCGCGGCTTGTCGTGCGAGGCTTTTACACAATCGAGGATGCTTTAATAGTGGACATGCTCGTAAGAAATCCTTGTAAGTTTACCTCTAATTCAATTATTGCAAGATTTTAAATTATTTGACTAATATTTTTTCTGTATTTGTGTTAACCTTTTCTATTTAGGTATGAAAGAGGATGATATCTGTGAACTTTTAAAATTCGAGAGGAAGATGTTGAGGGCGAGAATAGCCACATTAAAAAACGACAAATTTATTCAAGTCAGATTAAAAATGGAAACAGGTATAATTCAGTTTGTTATATTTTTAAATGTTTTTGTTAAGTTAGATCTTAATTTCTTTGAATGTGTATTTTTAGGTCTTGATGGTAAAGCTCAGAAGGTTAACTACTATTTTATAAATTACAAGACTTTCGTCAACGTGGTGAAGTACAAATTGGATTTGATGCGCAAACGTATGGAGACCGAGGAGAGAGACGCAACCAGCCGTGCCAGCTTCAAGTGCCCCGCCTGCGGGAAAACATTTACTGATCTAGAAGTAAGACATACAAAAAACTTTTTTTTACAAATAATTTAGAGGTAAAAATCAGGTCGTCACTCTGCGACTTCTACTACACTTTAAAAGTATATATTTGTACTAAATTCGACATATTTCAATTTCAGGCAGATCAACTGTACGACATGATGACGCAAGAATTTCGATGTACTTTCTGCAACCAGATAGTTGAAGAGGACCAATCGGCGCTACCTAAAAAGGATTCTAGATTACTTCTAGCCAAATTTAACGAACAACTAGAAACTCTTTATATCTTGTTAAGAGAAGTGGAAGGTATCAAACTGGCACCTGAGATATTAGAACCTGAACCAGTGGACATCAACACCATAAGAGGGTATTTAATTAATTTCCCCTATTTGATTCTATAAAATTTTATAATCTGTGTCTATATGTGTATAAAATGTATATTAATTTGTAACTGTTATTATTTTTTCTCAGACTGACAAATAAACTGCAGCCGAGGCCGGGCGGCGAGCAATGGTCTGGGGAGGCGACTCGCAACCAAGGGATGCTGGTGGAGGAGACTCGGGTCGATGTGACCATCGGCGAGTCGGACGCCGTCGCGGACGCCAACGCGCTGCGCAAAGAGCGCCCCGTCTGGATGGTGGAGAGCACCATCGCCACAGACCAGGTAATATCACTTCGACTTCTCTCTTCTTCTGAACTTACTAGGATAGGTAAAAAGAGGTCAAATCTAGGTCGACCAAGTCGCACTAATCAATAACTCGAGACTAACTCGACCAGCAAATGTAGTACGGTAAATATTACTGGAAGTATATTATAGTTACACATTACCTCGAACAAAACACTTGAATCGTATTAGACTAAGTGCTCGTGACTTCGCCCGCGTGAAATTAATTAATTATACAAAATATAGCCTATACCTCATAGAATTACCTTTCTAATGGTGATAGAATTTTAAAAATCGGCCGTGTAGTTTTGGTGTGAATCATATACATACAAAAATTCGAAAATACAACTCTTTATAATGTTAGCATACATTATTTTTATAATTAACGCCAGATCTCTTTCTTGTTACAGGGCGACAGTGTGCATTCGTCGGACATGGCACTTGAGAAGGCCGCTAGTAACGCGAGCAACGCTAAAGGCACCGGCAAAGAAAAGAACGACGATATTATGTCTGTCCTGCTCGCACACGAGAAACAAAACACATCAGGTTTAGTACCACCATACATTACATACCTCAAAAATAATTTGTGTAATTAATTTATCTATTATATTTAACTAGAAGTTAATAGTGATTTAAATCGATTTAACTTTCTTAAAGGTTTTTAAAAATAAAGTGTTATTATCAATTTTTACTGCAGGTAGCAACGTGTCTAACGCTCTGAAGGGCATAGAACCTGATAGCTCAGATTCAAGTGACAACGAATCCAAAGATCCATACAAACTCAAAGACGAACTTGCTGCCGTTGGTAAGTTGAGAATTAATGCTGTTATTCAACATGCAGTACACAAATACATCGATACTAGTGTACAAGACATTATCAAGTTATTTACAAGTTAAAAATGTATAAAACAGAGATTGCTCAGGCGCTCTTACAATAACTGAGGGGAACGGAAGGTTAAGAGTGTTATGTGAGAGTAATTCCTAGAGCCGCCCTGGGCGATCGTCCGACCTTTCCCTATTCTAACAGCACTGACATAATTTGTATTTTTAAACTTCCATGAAACTTATTTTTTTCAGCTGAAATGGAGAGCGAAGATTCAGATTCCGAAGACAACGCGCCGACGGTGATGGTGAACGGCAAAGCGGTGCCGCTGACGAGCGTCGACGATGACGTCATCGCCAAGATGTCGCCCGCGGAGAAGGAGACGTACATACAAATATATCAAGAATATTACAGCCATATGTACGATTAAACTATAAGGACAATGAGGTGTTTCCCGTTGCACCGATCGGTCCAACGGGAAACAGCCAGTCGATGTAACCCATACAGTGTAATAAAAGTTCTGTATATGTAAAACATTTGTTTTATTTCATTTGTACACAAATATATAATAATTTAAAATAAACATACAATAACTCGTTGTGCGATCAAGAATAAATTAAAAATTTGCATAAGAAAATAATTTAATTACCATTCTCTATTTTCTACTATACAGTACTACATTTAATAAATATAGAACACAATTGACTATAAATGACAAATCTCTTATTACAATGGAAATGAATGTTATTTAATACTGTATTATTTATCTAAATGTTTCTTTGTACTAATGGTACTCAACGTTATTGCTATAAAAGGTATTACAAAAAAACAACAGAAACAAGGTTTAATATTGAGATATGTTAAATTGTTAGTTTTGACTAAAATATAGTACACATTTACTAGGGACGTTTTACCCGACTGACCACTAAAAGAAGTTTTAAGTCTTTTAATTTCAATAATTTTCTAAAGTGAAGTATTTTTACTAATTTTAAATAGTAATATTGTGAAGCATTTTATGGAAAAAAATCAGTTGAACCCACGCTCACACTGGTTTTTATAACTATTACAATATTGGTACTAAGTCATATGTAGTCAGTCGGGTATAAATTAACTATTTTTATTATTAGAATCAGTTAACATTCTTGCCCCATTTGTCCCAATATTCATCTGTCTGCATTTCCATAATGCGCGAGAGACATCGATCACACGCAAACATTTCTTCCTCTCCAGTGAATATAGCTGCTTTTGCATCATCCTGTACATACATTATAAGTAAAACTAAGCATTTTAAAGTTATACCATGTATGTCAGTTCCTACTAATCTTACTAATTTTATAAATGTTAAAGTTTAGATGGATGGATGTTTGTTACAGTTTGTAGCCTAAACGGCTGAAGGGATCTTGATGAAATTTGGTATAAATATACAGAATAGTCTGGAAGAACACATAGGCTACCTTTTTAAAAAAAAAATTCACGCGGTCGGAGTCTCCGGCGAAAACTAGTGCTTTAATAAAAGTAAATTATGCAGTATTAAAATTGTTAACTTACCGAATCTTTAGTTATCTTCAAATCGTCCATAAGAGCTCTATCCGCGTCGCCAAATCCATCTTTTTCATCCATCCTAAAGAGATCCTTTGGTTCACAATCCGCTGCAATAACAACCTGAAAAAAAAATATTTACTTTATGAAGAACAAAAGATAATAAATCAATACAAGAATAATATCTTACTGCAATTTATTCTCAAAGAATAGTAAATAATATGGATTGCTTATTGTATTTTACTTACTCGAACTCTATTGTCATACAAGGTGTCAATAAGGGTAATAAATCTACGTAGCTGAGATCTATGCTTCATAATAGATAGTTGTGGAAGATTCCGTATGAACACAGTATGAAACGTCTTCGATATCACAAGATAATCACTAGCGCCAAGTGGCTGAAAATAAATTAAAAAGTTTATTAAACTATAATTTTTTTAAATTTCTCAACCAACTCTTCTTTTATATGTAAGCCGAGTATTGCTCTTCCATACATCTCTGTCAGCCGTTGTGAACATTTACTTCCTTTTTTAAGCATACCCTCTTTCACACAATCCATCCATACTTTTGTTAGTATTCCTCTACATTTGTAGCCAAAACTTAAAAGCAAATAATGAGTAATCATTGACAGCATTCTTAAGTGGATTGTAATAAATATCTTACCCTATCACATAACTCCTCAAATGTAGAATCAAGTACTCTCCCACAGGATTTAGCAAACTTCACATTCCGTCCCATGATGTTTATAACCCGAGGCCTAACAGTATCAGTCTCCATTGATACTAAGTATTTAAAAAGGGTATTTACAGCATTATCACCTTCGTTCAATTCACTGTTACTGAAAGTAAAAAAATAATTCTCATTACCTTGCAGAATAAAGATATGTAAATTTCTACTTTACTTGTTACACATTAAGACTCATAGTAATAGTTATATCATAAAATTATTCAATCTTAGAGCATGTTACAGAGATACCAGTTTTCTTACATTTGAACAATATTTCAAGGTCTTTAACAATACATATTTAAATTTATATTTTAGAATGCTAGAAGATCCTGCTCCTGATATGCAGCATTTAAAAAATTTTTAAATTTTTGCTCAAAAGGGTTTTGAATTCCTTCCAGAAACTCTCGAAATATAACTAATTTGTGTTATGTAAAAAACAAAAAAGTTCATACTTACATGAAAAATTTACTGTACTTATTGCCTGAGCCCCTTAGCCTATAATCTATACCAGAATCTAATTGTATAACTGTGCAGTGTTCCTTCAGTATAGGTATGAAGGGGAGAAAATTTGATCTTTGGAGACCATTTTTATATAAGTCATCCGGCTTTCTGTTACTAGTTGCTATGATAACACAACCATTGTCAAACAGCTGAGTGAACAGTCGCTTTAGAATCATTGCATCTCCTATATCTGTTACCTGATGAATAAAAAATGTTTTTTTTTACAATAACTATTACTTCATCTAGTAGATGCTCTTTGATAGATGTTGAATTTTTTTTTCTTTATTATGAAAAATATTAGTACATTTACTAATATTGTTAATTTACTAATATTTCCTTTAACCATTCCAACTAAGCTCTAGCCTTGTGCAAGGATATGGTTCACGATAATAGTCAAATCACGGAATTCGAACCCTTGACCGCAAGATTGGTAGTCCCATACCACAAACCATTAGGCTATTGGCGCTTAAAAATTGGACTATATTATAGTATAACTAATAATCATATTATTTGCTTTTATTTTGACTGATTAATTTATTTATTAAATAACACAATGTGTTGTTACTTACTTGAAATTCATCAAAACAAATAAGCCATGATTCTTGTGTAATGTCAGCAGCCACTGGAGGGATTGGATCAAAAGGCTTGGATGCTTCATCTCTAAAAGAACTTGCGCCTTTACCAGATTGTATCTTCAATTCATGAATTCTTGAATGTATATTTAACATGAATGAATTGAAGTGCACTCTAAGTTTTTCTTTAATCTAGAAGTGATTAAAAAAATCTTACAATTTTTAAATGAAATATAAAAATAAAAGGTTTTAATTTCTTACTTACGGGGACTGTTTCATAAAAAAGATCCATTAGCATGGTTTTACCTCCACCTACACTTCCATATATATAAAGACCTTTAGGTGCTATAATTTTTTCTGGTTCTTTTTTCTTAAAAAATCTGAACAAGGCATTCTGCGGTGACTGTATTGTAGGTCGATTGAAAGTTGTTACTTCTTGATAAACTTTTTGCAGATGCTGTACAACTTGTTCCTGATGGGTATCTTGACTTAGACTTTTGTTGGCTACTTTTTCCGTGTACAAATTCCAAGGACCTTCATTTGCAACGCTGTGCTCCAAAACTTGAGACGATAGTAGTCTTATGCACTGTGTACATTGCTTCCAAGGATATTTTACGATAGAATTCACATGATAATAAGAACTTTGAACAAACATATTGAAGGTTACACTTTTTTAATATAACAGTAAAATACTATAAAAATAAAAACATGTAAAACACAGTTTTTCTTTGGATCATTTTAAGCCATCTTATCATATTCTATAAAAATAAAATAATATTTTCGTTTCGTATCGTTAAAACATAATTTCGTAACCCATCAGCAGTGATGTAAACTGACTGATAGCACGACTGTCACTGTCACTGTCAAGATTAACATTGTCAATGTCAATTCTTGACACTGATGGTATTGTTTTTTTTATTACAACACGTGCTTGTATAAAAAAGGCAACTTACGTCATAAACATAAACATAAACAATGAATTTTATAATGCTTTACTGTAATTTTAATGTATAAATCAAAGTATACTTCATTATAAAATTATTTCTCTTATTTTGTTTATTCATTTTACTGAGCGTGGTTCATTACAAGAAACGAAACCAAAGATACGGATTTTGGCGCGAAATACAAACGAGCTTTAGTTTGAGTCTTGGCGCCACATCACTATCCGAAATCTTCGCTATAGAATAGGAGCTTTGTGCTTGTGAACCTAAAGTGCGTGCTAAAAGTGCTCAACTATTTATTCTACACGAGTCATTGAAAACTTTAAAAGTAGCAATCTTATAGATGTTATTTATGTCATATCTATAATATATCGATGGTAGTATTTTAACACTAATGAAAATACTTTGTTGTCGGTTTTTGGCCCTTGTTTTACAATTTTTCGGCATAACCATGTACCTATAAATGTTTCGATGTCGGTTTATAAACATTAAACAAATCCAGCCATCTTTTGTCGCACACCTTGAAGGGAATGTTGAATGAAATCGAATTGAATATAAAACATTTAAACTAAGACATAGGTATATATTTAATAGAGATGCCACTTTGTAAAACTACCAAAAACCGCAACGAATCCGAACGAGCACGCGATAACAAACAATGCACAATGGATACCGCGCAACAATGAACTATCCATTATGAATACATAATTAGGTAAACTTCTTTATCTTCTCATTTTATTAGCAATATCTACATTTAACCAAATAGTTGGTCTAAATATATCCTTTGCTTACATCACCCTTTTACGAAAAAGGGCATTTAATGTCAAATTACAAACAGGTAGCTCATAGCTCAGTGGTGAAAGCTTTGAAAGCGGGCACCCAAGTATGTATCGATAAATTTTCTAGTTACATCGGTTCGACTATGAAATGAAACATTAATTATTTTCATTTGTTTATAACGCTTTTATTAATAATTGAAATAATAATATAACAGAAATTGAGTAAATGTTAATAAAAGAGCGTTATTTTAAAGTTGATAAGCATAACCTAAAACTGAGTTTAATGTTATTGTGGGTCATGGTCGAGTCGAGAGCGCGGTAGTGGAGCGCGACACAGGGTCCTTAAAGATGATTGCTCCACATATATTAATCATTTCTTGTCCATTAAGACTTCCTCTGTAAACACAAAAAAACACAATCTAATATTAACACAGAGAATTTAACATATTTCACAACTTATTTCGATTCTATTTTCTTAAATTTACTTAAACCAAACCTAAACTATTTTTTAAAATCTATTGTTAATGAGACTTTACATTATTAAGATCGTGTACAAGTACATAGGTCAAATTTACTCCCTTACTTATAATTTTGCATATTTGTAATCGCAATTGCCCTCTGAACCGAGGCATGAATTGACGTTGAAGAAAAAAATAAAACGATAAATTGCAACTTGCCGAGTTAACCCAATAGTGGGAGAGGCGGCTTGACAAATTATCCCCTCTCGTCGACAATAATAAGTAAATCTTGAGAAAGCAGGATGTGGTCGAATTGAAATCGACGTCCTGACTGCATTGATGCAGTAAGTACATAATATATTGCAATCAGCAATCACGCAACATCGTCCCATCCTCTTTTTATTTTCGCCAATAGGGATGTGACTACGAATTTTTACCCAAATACATTGTATCATCACTAGCCGATTAATATTATATTTTTTTTATTATAAAACTAATAACTTTGCATTTTAAGGTGTGTTAACTGTAACTGAACTATCCACCGAATCCGCATTTTATTGATGTAGAAACACAGTTTATATTTACTCTTTTGAAACAAATTACTTAATTAAAAGGTTGTCTATTCAAGCCAATAGAAGTTAGAATTTCTGAAGTTCAGATTTATATTGTAGCTTTAAAATTAATTTCTTTTTAAACATCACTTTATGAATAAAACAAGCAATAAATATAAAACAACCCTAAGCGAGAAAGACATCGACCGGCCGCAACGTCCTCGTCCATTTAATTTACAGTTTCTTTTTTTTCTGTCTGACTCTCCTGTCCTGTCTCCTGGAAATTCGTCGCGACGCTTTTATGCTCTGTGCTATTTTCAACGACATAATGTTAACTCTGGAAAGGAGATGTTATAAATTATTGCTCGTTACCACGACTAAGTTTATGACAAAGTCTGTAAAATATTATGTCTAAATTTAAATCATACCTATAGGTGTATGAGAAATTTCAATACATTACAGTGTTTCCTTTCCCACTGAAATCTTTTCGCAAATTAATGTTGTCCTTAACTTTCTTTTGTTAGTAATAATGACATTTATGTACTGAAAATATTTACATGCTGTATGATCAGATTCTTTCAAACTCTCCATCATACCAAATCTACCAAAATTAACTCAGAAAATTATAAACAATGTAAATACGAATCGGAGATTAGTTTAATATCTGTGATAGACTACATACATTACAATAAAAGAGCTTCTGTTTTAATATATATCGTTCGGCCGCATCTTTACTTAGCTTAGGCGGAGTCGCGGTCAAGCGCTGGTTTATTTATGTAAAAAAAAATATAGACTGCTGATTACGATTGGAGAAATATCTTTCGCCAACCTTCCAATTACTACGATACTTACATGAAACTCCAAGTTTATTTTGGAATTTAAACGTATAAGTCTTTCTATATAGGGAAAATGTTTAAAATAAGTATCACTTGTACTATTGTGGTCAATGTCAAGGTTACCTTCGGCGAACTGACCTACGGAACCTAAATTGATCTTGAACTCGCGCACACTGGCCTCAATTGTGCCCCGTCTAATGTCCCGGTTAACAACCTCTGGTGCCAAGGTGCCTGCAGTTGTTTGCATAGTTAGAGGAAGTCTCAAAACTATTAAATCAACTCGCAAACAACACCGCTATTCATGCATCCATCTCGATCTATTTATTCATTCACAAACAATCTTGTTCTTACGATTCACTCAAATGAAACAACTTTATTTCGCTTTGTATATTTTCAAATGATTTGTCGAATTCAGTTAAAATACATGATGAAAACGAAGAAGATCTAGAAGAATATTCCAGATCCACTGCTCGTTTGCCCACTTCAAAAAACTTCAGACTTGGACTTCCGTGAGTACAAGAGTACACCTTAAAGTAAATTTAATGACGGATGTAAAATATAAGCCCCAAAAAATATTTATCCACGCTGTGACGTAGTTTCGTAAAAAAAATAACTTTGTAGAATTAAAATAAGGATAGTTAATAAGAAATGGTTCCCTTAACTTGAGGGTTTTAGAAGCGAGTTTACTGCGTCATTAAGGACTAATATAAAAAACTATCGCCCTATAAAACGGCTACTATAACTTCAATAATAATTTCAATTACATAGTATTTGTTAATACTTAAAATAGTAAGAATAGTTGCTATGCTAAGTAAAAGATAAACACTAGAAACTTAAACTAGCGATGGTCGTCATTACAAGTTAGCGATATAATATTTAAACTGAGAGGTGAAACTATTTGACATTGATCACCTTATATCTATGAGGTTATCATTCAATTACTTTTTTTTATTATTATATAAACTGCTTTGGAAACATGTACCGTATACATACTGAATGTCTAGGTTTCTTGTGTATCAACAATCAAATGGTTAAAGGGTATTTATTCTTCCTAGGATTAAAAGTTTTAAAATAATATGTCGATAGTCTTTCGATTATGTGTGATTTACTAAAAGAATACAACATACGATAGGTATAACTTTAGACAAACCTGATACACAAAAATCAACTAAAATAGCTATGTTACAAAATTAATGTTTGTTAAAAGAATGTTTTTTTTTATTATGAACACGCAGCAAATACGTGAATAAGCAGTTCATAATTGGCATTAAGTGGTTATCGACTTTCCCGTCAATAAATCTATAGCTACACAAACAAGCGTCGTTTGAAAACCATTACACTAATTTGTCCTATTATTAAGACTACGAGGGAGAGCTAACTACGTATACATGAGTTTTTTGCACAGTCAGAGGGTGGTCCTACCATGCGGGCTCAGCTGCAATACGTTTCGCACACAAGTACTCCCTATACGTAAACGCATCTCTATTTAAAATTTGCGGATGCGCTTTGCACACTGCCTACTTAAGATATCCGCAGTCTTGTATAGTCTTCATTTGAACAAAAGTGAAATACCATTATATGGAAAATTACTTTTATAATCCCATATACCACCCACAGTCTTAACAATACCTCTGTATGAAATATAAATACTACATTTAGTTAGTTATATTGTTCTCAACATAAGTTTTATTAAAGCAAATATATTTGTGACAAAATTTCGTTTTGACACTGTTGTACCTATTGGACTAAGCTTCCGTGGTCCGCAGACTTACGTAATTTTGGCAAAGCTGGAAATTGGACAAGATCTGACTACTGGCGCTAACTTTGTATGCTTCTTTCGATCGATAATCCTATGAACGTAAAGATAAAGGTGTTTTTGAACATATATAATATGTTAGTTGTTAATGATATGATATGAAATATGTCGTGATGAGTCTGGTTGAGGCGAGTGCGGTGCGTGAGCACCGTGCGGCCGGGCCGGCCATTTGCAACGATCGATTGTTTTGGCTGCTGGCAGTCACCTTAATTGCTCGTGAATCAGGACGTCTAGAGCACATTTGTATGGCACGATGTACTAACGCTGTTACTTTTCAAACAAAGGATCTGTTAACTTACGAATTTCAGAAAAAAATACGTTTTAATTTATTCTCATGGATAATCGATATGTGCTTTTGAAGCTAAGATCTTATGAGTCAAAGTCCATACCATAACCATTGAGTTTTTAGCGCTTTAAACACAAACGGTTCTAAACGTTGAGTTCATAGAAGTTTTTATGGCTTTATCAATAGCCAGCATTGCTTGAACTCAGATTAATATCATCCTCGTTTCGACAGATAACATGAATCATCATCATCATCACCAGCTCACTATATGTCCCCACCGAGGGGCTCGGAACCTACCCTAATACGGGGTGACTAGGCCATAGTCAACCACGCTGGCCAAGTGCGGGTTGGTTGACTTCACACATATCTTTGAATTTCTTCGCCGATAGGTGCAGGTTGCATCACGATGTTTTCCTTCACCGTAAGAACGTCGGGTAAATTATGTACATATGAAAATTCGAAAAATCGAAAATCACATTGGTACATGGCGGGATTCGAACCCAAGACCTGTAGATTACAAGTCAAGTGTTCAAACCACTGAGCCACCGACGCTCCATAACATGAATAAATGTTACAAAACAAAGTTTACTTGCGACTTTCTGTCTACGCACGATAAAACAGTCCAATGGAAATTCACATAGTTTTCAAAAGCCGAAATGATAAACTGTTAAAGTATATACCTACCATTATGTTTAAGGCGATGGGTCTGTCTAGGTTACCAGTGCTGTGTTGGAACACGTCGTTAATCCAAATTATTATCGATGTAGAAAAGACTTAACTTGTAGCGTTTCTGCGCGTTTGTGAAGTTTGTCATTTGTTTCTGTGTCTCCTGAACTACCCTAAAAAGAAAGTTAGCGTCAATAAAATTTCAATTTGTAATTAAAATTGATTATTGCATTGTAATTAAAAATATCTACATAAAAATTACTTCCTATTGTTTTTAATTTTTACACAACACCTGTGCAAACTGTAAATACATTTATCTACCGGTGTTCACTGTGGATTTTATATCTGTATCATAAAATATAAATAAACCCCAGACGTCTATATTTATATTTAACACTTACATAATGATCGAGAGAAAGATACAAGTAATTGCTACTTATTTAAGAACAGTAGGCATTTAAATAAAAAGGCAGCTACGATGCGCGCAATAGCATGCCGTCCTTGCTTCGTACGATAAGAAAATGTTATTTATAAAAATGACAAGTAATTCACGCCGGTTGGTACTTTTGCACCTACGCATCCACATTAAACTGTGATGCATTTGTCAGTTTGGTGAAAATAAGAACAGATACACTCACCATTTGTGCTGGCCAGTACGCAGCTGCGTGGAACTTTCTAGAAAATGTATCTAGTATTGTTTCTATCGATAAAAATTAGATTTTCTTTATGATATAAGGTGTCAAACGAGTGAGTGGCCACCTCAATTCGACGAGAAAGCGAAGCGACCGCTGCCCATATATATCCACATATGCGTTGCCTAATCAACGGTGAAGGAGACGCACATAAAGACGACATTTCCCCATCCTATGCATCTCGTCCACCGTCAAATCAGTTTTCCCTTCATCCTTTCCGTATGAGAAAGTGGTGGGAAAGGAAAGAGACTAAAATTAGGCCTAGATAACATTTCTAGCTTCTCAATATAGTAAAACATAAACCAAGTTATCTAAAACACAGCTAAACAATCTGTAATAGATAATTATAAAAAATATAAGGAACATTTTAAAATGAGCATTACAATAATAAATAATTTTTACATATAAATGCGTAGTTAATTTAAAGCTCGAGCATATTACAACCTCGAGATGCAACGTCACGATAACCCAATTGTGGATTATTGAGTTATTGTTTAGTTTGGACAGGATGTGCGACTTGCGGACAAAAATACAATTTACTTAATTTAACATAACGTGGGAAAATACTCATGGCATTTAATTATTCGATTAGCTTTTTATTTATTTTTTTATTTTGACAAATCATCATCTCATTAAATTATTTGTTATTGTTTTTTTTGTGAGTTTGTAAACAATAAACTCAATAACTACTGAGGTAATTTAAAAAAATCTATCATCGTAAGGATGCCTAATTATCCCTGAGTAACATAAGCTATAGCTGAAAAAATAGACTTACTCTATATAACAGAAAAAGTATCGCACATTACTTTTACAGTGCGTGCGAACCTTATCTAGGCTTTTGTCTCGGTCGCTAGTATTAAATGTAGTGTGAGCAGTTAAAAAACAACACTTGAATATTTATATACATGTTTGTTGATAAACCCATTTTAGTTGGAATAAATCTTAGCTCTTTTTCCACACCACCTCAGGGGTAAGAACCAAGGTGCGCTTTTTTTATAGAGGTATCCCCAGTAGGCCTAGTCCTCTCTTGATAAATGCGCGCAGAAGTTCTCAAACCAAATAACAGTTACTTCTTTAACTATTTGATACATTGTAATAGCTTACTCGTAATTATGCAACTGCCTATTCAATTGTTTTAAATTGCTTAGCAACAGCTATTAAACAATTCTCAAAATTAGCTCTAGTATAGGTTTAGATTGTACTTATTATGCTGGCTGGAAATAATGCGGAACTTTGTTATAAAAACCAGTTAAAAATGAATGTAGACAAATCAAATTGGTCCAAAGAATCATTTTCGAAGGAGTCGAGTAGTGTTATTTTGTCGTGAGACTTGTCTTTTAGTAAATGTATTTAAATGTATCTCTCCACAGCCAATCAAAATTCGGATATTGTCATAGTATACGTCGAGATTATTAGGTAATGTGTCAAGAATTGTGTCACCCAGTTACAAGAAGGCGGTGCGTTTGCACGTCGATTAAAATTAGGGTTGCTAAATTTGTCTGATTGTCTCCCAATTTAGCTTGTTATCAAACGTTTTATCAATCATATTTACATTCAAATACGAACAGGAGCATAACTTTAATACATTTTCTCGTTTATTTCTACCAATACTTTTTTACTAAACTAATTATCCAAACATTTGTCTCTACCTTGTAGAAAACTAACAAGGTAGGTCGTCAATAGCAAACTATAAATATGATTTGAATTTTATTTGCGGTATTTTCTACATTTCTATAATTTGAAATAACTATTATTTAGCAATACACTTTTAAACACTATTCTATGTTACTATCGTAATCTGCAACACTAAATTCATCATGTAATAAAATTGTAATTAAAATACTATTGGCAGCCCTGAAAAATTCGCAAGGTAGCGTTGTAAGAGCAGCAAGCAGACTCGGAGTCTGTGGCAGACGCCTACATGTCGCTGTGCTGAGCCAACGCGGCTACTAGCAACATCTCACTTTATATTCTTATCACTTGCGTAAAAATGGCAACGCTACATAAATACGCTCAACAAATACCGTAATTTATTTTATAAACGCTCAATTAAATTTAATTAGTTTCGTATTAAATAATGCAAGTTTTGTTTTTACTATTATTCTTAATAGAGATGATAGATAATAGATGTCTATTTATAAACATACATAAAGACATTTTACTGATATTGTAATAGGTTATGTTTAAGATAAATCCGTCAGACTAAACAAATACCTTGTTGTATTATTATGTGATCATTCGTTTTATTTCTCTATCTTAAATCGCAACTATCTTTCAACATCGCCTTGTAGAGTTGATCAAACAGTTTTAATCAACGCGCCAAAAAGTTCGTGGTGGCGGCCACGTACCCTTCGCACCTTTGAATAAATCTGCAGATCATTCCCAAACATACTTCATACACAGCACACTCCTCCATAACTAAATTCATACAACCATGTACACATGAATAAAACCAATGCACATAATATTTGGCAAATAAGCGTGTTTGTTTCACAAATTATGATAACGATTAACAATGCAAACAATAGTTATGAAGATCTGTACGATGTAAATACATAGAGACAGTAACAAGGTCTTATAATAACCTATCGACAAGTGATAGACTGCAATATTATCTTATTTACTTAAGTCCTACCAATTCCTTTAACATGTTGCTGACATACAAAGTGAACTGTACACTATCGGTTTTGATATGCTAAAATTATAAATAGTCAAATAGGTCACAAGATGTTCGTGGGAATTCTCTGTTGCAAATATTTTTAATTTGGCATTAAGATCAAATTCACGGCCACGAGATTTGTTCTTCAGAATCATTTATTATTTATATTTGAAAGGTCACATTATAAAAATTGCACGGTTATTAAACAATAAGAGAATTTCCGAGGTTATTGTCTTTACAAATTATAACTTATCGTTTCCAGCAATAAAATTGTTTCTGTCTCAAAAGCATCCAGTTTATGCACTGCTTGTATCGATCCTATTAATTGCTCTATTCGCGCAACGCGTCGATGTTAAAATTGACGTTATCAGGAGCGGTCGAAGCCCCTTGGCTTTAGGCAGATCACATATTTGTATGAACTTAGATAGCCTCTTTTCGCATAATAACTGATTCTCTGCATTTTTTATTCTGAACGAGCCTACGTTTACAATTCTTGGCGATTTGCAATTAAAATTATACGCTAATGTAAATGTTATATATTTGTGAATCGGACAATTTGAGGGTGAAAAAAAACTTCAAAGTATTAAGTCCATGTAAATTTGTATTCATCAGACGTATGCCGCGTTCGCGATAGAAATCTGGACATAGTCCCATAGACAATGATACGACGCTTTGAAGTAATCATTAGCTAATTAAAATTGGCGGTGCGTGATGCGATCACGGAGTACGTTACCCACTTATAAGCTGCACACGTGCCTGTCAATGAACTCTGGGCACCATAGCGAGAAACAGTCGCTCGCACGTGGTGCCGGCGAGCGGCGCCCGGCGACCGCCTAGACGTACTCCTACTTGCAAAACCTAGGTGACTCGCGAGCGTACATCGCGGTTCTCTTTTCATTCTTTTCAATACATTTCTAACATTCTGGAGAACGAAGAATGACCAACATATTACATATTCTTTGTTGTAATAGAAACGATTCACTAGGTAATCACTACAAGATGAACTCATGCGTACCTAAGGGCATCGAACCTGGCTCTACATCTATCGCAACCGGCTGGTTGCGCACATCGGTTAGGATACAGGTGCAGATACTAACGGGCAAATATGAGGACGTTGTCTGTGCGGGCCAGGAAGTCGTCCCGCTCGGTGTGCGTGACGAAGGTGCGCGCAGGCGCGGGCGCGTCGGCCTGGACGCCCGGCGGCGGCGGGCGGCGCTCGTAGCGCTCCATCAGGTCGGCGGGAACGCGCGGCAGCTCGCGCCCCGTCGTGTTGGGCGCCTGCGTGAAGCCCAGCTTGGCGAGCAGGCTCTCGCGGATCACCCTCAGGCTGTGCTCGCGCGCGTTCTCGTAGGAGCGGCAGGTGGCACAGACGAGCGGCTCCTTGGGGCAGGTGGGGTCCTGGGCGGTGGCGGCCGCCAGCCACGCGGCCAGCAGCAGCAGGCGCGCGGGCCTGGCCCGCGGCCCGCGCGACGCGCCCAGCGGACGCGTGGTGCGGCAGAGCGGGAGGCGGCGAGCGCGGCGAGCGATGTGCGGCCGCGGGCGGCGCGTGCGACACTGGCCGCCGCCACTGCGCTGCGCGAGCGCCCGGCCCGCTGCGCCCGCGCGCCCCGCCCTGCCCCGCCCGCTCGCGCCGCCCTCGGCCGCCGCACACCCTCGCGCCCTTGCCCTCACGCCCTAGCGGTCGGGAAAGCGCCGCCCGCCCAACATTTGCAATGCTACAATGTTCACAACTTTATTCCGCCAACTTCGTTAAAATTTGTTTGAATGTTTAACTATTTTTACATCTTCCATAAGCTCTAAACAATATTTAACACGCCACAAATTTTATTAATTAGGGTTATTGTACATAATAACATAAAAATGTTTATATGAAAATGGCTTATAATAAATTTGATCTTAATGCCAAATTTGTAATAATATTAAACATACGACGGTCTTGCCTTTTTCTGAAAAAATACCTACTAAATTAAATAGAGAAGTTAGTTTACAACAGATTTATTTATACACCGCACAGTTGATACAGTCGGCCAATTTGTTTTGTAAAGACTAAATATTTTGACGGAACACTAAAGAAAAGATACTTATAGCTACGTGGGTTTCAATGGCCACGCCAGCTACGCTTAATTTTAGTTTGCCTTGGAGAAAAATGCAACCACTGATGAAGCTAAAATAATTGCACATATGATGTAGATAAATTATTAACGATTATATTTTGTAAATGAAAAGTAACGTCACAAATGAAAAAATGCTTACATGAACTGCAACTATACTAATATGACTCTAACTTACCAGTTAGTGTCCACATTTCATCGCTTTAGGTGATTTTCCAATAAAAAATATTATTCCATTGCTGTTTGAGGTAAAGAAATCCATTTTTCCACACAAAATGGAGGGTTATAAACTTAATAGAGATTATTTGAATAAAAGTATTATCTACTGACTTGATATCATGTTTCGTTTGTACTCTAATATATACGGGGTGGCTTAACAAAGCCTGTCACCTCTATTGTTATACTCCTATCACCTGATTATTACCAAAGTATCTTTAATTACGCCTTTGATATAAGATTTTCTTTCTGCTAATGGATCTATTCTCAGATATGTCAATCAATTTATCATATATAAGTCGAGGAAAACTATCTTCACGACATAGTATTCGTTTGAAGATAGTAGAGAGCAGTACTAAATACGAATTTTCTGTATATAACATGGTAAGTTATATTATGTTTAAGCAATAAAACCTTACGGTAAAAAGCTAAACGCCAATAATACATATTTTAATTTGTTTCAATTCTGTAAGTGTAATTTTTTTATTGTTCCAGGAAATAAGATGTTTAAGCGTTACCCGAATTTGCGGAGTTTTTCTACTTATTACTCAATTATGTATAACCATATCTGCTATGCAGAAAACTCCCGACGTTAACGAATTCACTTTGGAAAATCAAAGAACACATAGACGACAGAATTATGTTAGAAAGAGAGCGATGGATGATGGAATGCCGACCAGTATTGATGAATCCGAGGCATATTCTGTTGATTACATCGATACTGAAACGAATTTAGACGAACTACCGTCTCTAATAGTTGACTATGCGAATATGATCAGAAACGATATTATTTTATTGGACAATGTTGAAACAAGATCTCGAAAGCGCGGCAATTTAAAGTTTAAAAGGGACGATGTAAGTACACATCAACTTAGTAGTTAAGTCACATTAACATAGTAATCCACGAAAAGTACAACGTTAGGAAGAAACATCGTTTCGACATATTTTCGACGCAATTGCCAATCTTGGAAGATTGAAATGTTCAGTTTGAACATCGGCGATGTGACGTCATAAATGTTCATACTTTTGTCAATATCTAATGATTTTTTGTCTCTCTTTAGCAAGTACCTTGCAGTTGTGAACGCAAACCGGACGATGTAAGTACGCCTATTCGTGTGAAATTCTATTATACTTTGAATACTATCATAACGGCCATATTTAAACTTTACAGAACGAAAAGGAGACAACATTGATTGACTTAGGTATGGAATATTTCCCAAGATACATTGAAAAGAAATTTTGTGCAAGTCTCTGCCCACCTTCATATAGATGTCAAGAGAGTTTATACAACGTATGTATCCTTCATTAAACTTTTCCAGTTAGATAACTCAAATAGAATCTGCTGTCTTTTTCACAAATAGTTTTTTTTATTATTTCAGCTAACGATTTTAAAGAAGAAAGGATCTCCAGATAGGGATGACGAAGTGTTACTTCATTTAGACATGCCACGAGATCTCAAGAATCATTACGTGGCTATAAGAAAGCCTATTACCACTGGATGTGTTTGTACCAGGGACTTTGTTGAGTACCACTGAATTATTCAATGAAATTTTAACAGAATTGCTATGTGAATTGATGATGTAATAAATTGGTCTTATAATGAAAATATGTATTCTTACTATAATAAATACCATGTCGTATTGTTTAGTGTAATAAAAAAATAAAAAATTTAAATACTTATATTTATTTATCCAATTAATATCAAATTTTGAAAATTATGTATTGAGGAGATTTATAAAAAAATAAAAATAATATCTTCATATCTATATTACAACAAATAAATCTCATTACAAAAATTGTCTGTCCAGTGTTTATTTGTTTTCGACCTTAAGTTCTGCTCCTTAAGTCCCACGTTGAGAGGTAACACAGTCATAAAAAAGTCTTTTAAACAAAATAGTTTCATCGACGGAGAATAAAATTTAGCACTCGCGACCTAACTAGCTTATATTGTGTTTTGTAACACTTGTAACATACCATCTCTCATCATATATATCGTTGGGTAAAAGGCTATTTGTTTTAAGAGCCATTAGTTCACGAGAGCCATTTAAAGTCTTCATTTAAAAAAAAAACAAACCCTGAAAATAATTTCAATTGAAAGATTTTTAGACCGGTTCTAGATTAAAATTACTATATTTCTGCCTACTTTATTAATTATTTCATATTTTAAATATATGAGTCAATATCGCGTAAAATGGCGGTTGTAATAAATAGCCTTTCACCCGTCGATACCATTATTTTTGAAAAAAAAAAAAAAAACAACAATAACGTTCCATACACATATTACAACACTCGAAATCCACAGTTATACCAACAAATAGGTACTTCCCGTACACAACATACTATCTTAATGACGTCACAGCATATTTGTATATTGTAAAAAATACAACATTATAAATTCATCGTTAAAACACATCGATATAAAATTTTCATACACGTAGTTAATTTTTTACCAATCGATTTGCAGAAATGGGACATTGAATGATGGAAAAAAATTAAACACATTGTAACTTACTGCCTCTTTGTCTATAGTTTTGCAAAAGCTGTCCATTGAATTAAGCTTAAGCATTAATTTTAGATAAGTACAACAATTATTTTCATAACTCATAGTTGTTTAAAAACGGTAATGAATATACAACTTTAACTCATTTTCAAATACAATATTTTTAAAATGTTTATTTACAAAACAATTATATTTTTCTTTAACACATATTTACTAGTTGTCTACTACTGAAAAAATGTTTGTATGTGTAATATACATTTGTAATGTGATTTGGTAAACATGAACGTCGCCAGATGCTACCCCACACTACTGGATCAAAATGCTATAAAAGTTCGAATAAGATCGTATTTTTAATCCCGGTCAGTGTTGCCAATGCTATTGAAATTGCCGTGTTCTATGAATTTCGGGTCAAAAAATTACAAAATTTACGGCCCATGACCGCAACTCTAAGGTATAAAGCAGAGTAAATCATAATCTTTATTTAACAAATTAAATAGCTTTTGTATAGAAAAAATTAACAGTGACTTGTACCAGAAAAAAATGAAATTATTCACACTTACTTACTTCACGATGTTTAAAAAACAGAGATACAAATTGACTCATTTCATTTATTTTAAAAAGGTTAAAGTGATATTAGGTGAAGTTAGAAACTCGTTAAATAGTACTAGCGCGAAATTACAATATACAGTCGGGGAAATCCGCGTTGTTCATCAGGAAAAATAGTCATGTTCATTGCACCTATTACTACAAATAACTAATTAGTTAACAGTAATTGGTGCAAACAAAGGAATAATGAGAAACTAGCCGTGTACCACTAACCGCCTTTTTTGTACCGATACATTTCGACGGGTGAAAGTCTATTTGTTTTGTTTAGGCGACATTGACTTATATATTATATTCAGAATTTGCGAATTTTTTTGCATCGTTTGAACGGTTCATAAAGATAAGATCACTTCTGTGGCGCTTAAAAAAATTAAAATACAGATGTCGTTTTTAAGTAGCCATGTATGAAGCGCCAAAAAATCAGCAATTATTATAAATCGGTAGATTAATGAAGTATGCAGAATTATAGTAATTTTAATCTAAAACCGGTCTAAAAATCTTTAATTGATATAATTTCAGGATTTTTTTTCTAAAAACTGTAAATGGCTCTCTTGAACATTTAATCTAATGGCGCTAAAAACAAATAGCCTTTCACGTATTGATTTATAATCTGCATTGTATTTTGCTCCGCATGTCGTTTCAAAACGTTCTAATGATTGTTGCCTTAATGTTGGCACCGCCAGTTCCCGCGTTGTTGGCAGCAGTGGTGACGTCACGCGCACTAGTAGTCGTGGTGCGAGTGCGGCACGGTCTCGTGCGCGGCGGGCGCGGGCACGTCGGCGAGGTGCGGCAGGATGTGCGCGATGGCGGCGCGCGTCTCCTGCACGAGGCCCATCTCGCGGCGCAGCACCTCCTCCGTCACGCGATGTATCGATTTGAACTTGAAGTTCAGTCCGTGCACTTTCTGCACGTGATTGTTCAAGTTCACTTTGTAACTGAACGCCACGTTGCACACCTGCATTATTATTCCTTTTTATTCTCATACTAGTTGATACTCGCGACTTCGTCCACGCGGAATTAAAAATAGAACAAAATATAGCCTATGATACACACTGATAACACAGATTTTAGTGGTGAAAGAATTTATGGTTTTTGAGTTATTTCAACACATACAAAAAAAACAAATCTTTCCACTTTATAATGTTAGTAAAGAGATCTTTATTTTCATATTTGACATATATTACATATTATATGATTTTTAAAAAAGCAACACTGGCTGCCACATCCTTTTCATGTCATGGGATACGGACAGAAAGCAACAGCGGCCGAATATTCCAATAGTGAATCCATCATTCTCTAAGTTGTTTCTCAATATAAAGTTAATCTGTACTATTATAAATGGAAAAGATGGTAATAATTAATGATCCTAAAACGTTTAGATCACTGAGTAACATTTGTTTTAATTTGTGCTGGAAGAAGTTCTCCGGCAAAATCTATTTTTTAACCAAGTCCAAGTATAACCTTTTATTGTATGTAAAGTGAGCTAGTAAATGAAATAATGAGCGGTTACCTCACAGACGTAGGGGCGCTCGCCCGTGTGCATGCGCTCGTGGTTCTGCAGCTGGTGCTTGGCGTTGAAGGACATGGGGCACTCGCCGCACTTGTACGGCTTGTAGCCCGCGTGGATGCGCAAGTGCCGGTTCAGGTCGCAGCGCTGTTACACACTCCTCATTGTAATACAGTTAACGAAATACATTTATAAAATACTTATAGGTAATTTAAAGATTTCAACCAGTTTTTCATTTAAAAATAGGATCACATGTTGATAAGCATTGTCTTTAGAATAAAAACATTTTTTTTACTACACGCACCCTATATCAAAGACTTTACAGTTCATGGCAAACAGATCCATGTTATTCGTAATATCGTATCGAGATATGAAATCGCAACAGATTCGTATTAAAGGTGATTTTTTTCCAAGGAATAAAATACAACTATTGACTAAAATTTTACAAAAAAAACACTCACCACTATAAACTTCTTTGTGCACAAATGACAGGAGAATGGTCTTTCGCCTTTATGAATGAGGTTATGCCTGAAAAAAAGATAATTAAACCATACATCTTTTTAACAGCAACTTCTCTAGCCAATACCCTACCCTTTTGTCATATTAAAATAAGAAATGTAGTTTGTACATATATTTTAAATGAAGCCGACAAACTAGTAATTGGTGCAAGATGTTAAGTTCATGTCCACCAGTTGGTCAAAATTTAAAAGTCCTTTATCGTTTTAACCACAGCTGTATTACAAGAATATTTAGTTTGCGAATCAAGAACGTATATAGGTAGAAGATACTCAAATATTTCTGAAATCGAAACAGGAATTTTTTGACCGACTACTGACATAAAGTGCATATACAACTTAGTGTAAGTTTTTTGGACAGAATAGATTAAGATTTTTTTTTTTTATCGTATAAGGTGGCAAATGAGCAAGCGGCCACCTGAATCCACCGAAATGGAAAGCGACCGCTGCCCATAAACATCCGCAATTGCAGATGCAAGAGACGCACATAAAGAGATTTCCCCTACCCATGCGTCTTCTCCACTGTCAAATCCACTTTTCTTTCCCAGCCTTTCCTCTGAAGAAAAGGGTGGATAGGAAAAAGGACTAAAATTAGGCCTGCAGCACCACACCCATCAGACGAAACGCGGAATTGCTTCCACTTCACGCCTATCTTCTGTGTGGTCGTGGTATTACACCGGGCGAGCCGGCCCTGCAGTGCGAAGATGTTAAAGCGGGCTCTACCACTGTTGATAAACTACACTACTACTGATAAACTAAGATATTAAAATAGTAGCAAGGAATGATGCATAAAAAATATTTACCTCATTAATGATTTCTGTGTAAAGAAGCCAGCACCACAAATTTCACAAATATGATCCCTAATTCCAGAATGCTTTTTCATATGCAAGACCAAATTACTCTTTTGTATAAACGACTTTGTGCATTGATTGCAAGAAAATTTCTTCTTTTCTGGAAATAATTACTTTTAATGTATAAAACTGAATGAATACCCAAGATATTTAAATAATTTGATACTCTATGGCTATTATCGTTTTTCTTGTAATCACTAGTTTTTTATGTATTACAATTTTAACACGACTTTTTATATTAAACATCAAAATGAATATTACCAAATATTATTACACAACAATTTTAATATTCTTCTAATTTAATAAAGATTTAAGAGTGGCAACACTACAAGTCTATCATTTGTAACTAGCTGTTACTGCCATCTTCGTCCAAAAAAAATAATAATAAATATAGCCTATACTACTCAGTGATAACATAGCTATTTTTTTGTGAAAGAATTTTTAAAATCGCCCCAGTAGTTTTTGAGTTATTTTTATACATACAAAAATACAAACCTTTCCTCTTTATAATATGAAGTAACGATAAATGTTATTCTCACCATCATGAGTTGCTAAATGATTTCCCAGAGTAAAGGTAAGTATACCACAAACAGGACACACAAGTTTTTCTTTTTTCTTTGCTTCTGGCCTCTGAGTTCCCGAAGGTCGGACCACCCTTACTGACTTTTCTCTACGAACAATTCTATTCCCATCACTAGTTCCCGAATTCCTAGATTTATAATTTGGATGAACTTTAAGTACTGTTGCATCTTTAGGCCGCTTTAGTAATATTGGTGGACCTCTTGTGCCATTCTTCATTATTGGATCTGAATAATATTAAATTTTATTTTAATAAAAAAAAAACACTTCTTAAAGATTAAGCCATTTCCATACTCAATTGAATGTGTATTTAAATGAAGGATATGTACTTTACAAAATAGAGATATACACTTTCTTAGAAACTATTTGTATAAATTTTATAGCACTAACATAATTCGAAATTTTAAAAGCAATATTTGCTAAATAAAAAAATAATTCCACAGAAATAAAAATCACTTACAACATGTAATTGTTGTGGATCTTGTTTTTCCATCTTCACTTTTACCGTCAAATTCTTCCAGTTCCCCTTTAAATGTCTGATACACTTTTCTTACAACGGTTTTCTTACCTTTAAAAACTTTAATGTCACATAGTTTCGGTTTTTTGAATTTACCTTTCTTATTTGTTGGTGGAACATAATCATCATCATCATCATCTCCATAATCTGGTATATATTCAACCTGTAATATTACATTATCAAAATTAACGATAAAAATTAACTATAACAAACCTGTCTTAATGGTTCAAATATTCATAACACAACTGCCATGATTTGTTATGTACAATTAGGGAATCTGGCAGTGGTCATACTTAAAAACTAAAGTAAACAATTTGTACACATTAAGATGATGTACAATAACCAGTAGGACACAGCTATTAAATATGTCTGAACAAAAAAAAGTCACTGGTAAAAATCACAATGTAATTTTTCTGTTGGTAAACACCATAGATTTCCACAACTGTACATAGTATTAGAGTGGAGAAGTATGTCTCCTTGTTATAATAATGCACTAAAACAGTCAGAAGTTTTAACAATCTATTTGTACAAAATAGTTTTTTTTTTCATACAAAAAAATGAGAAGTTCTATATAAGCCAATAATTTTAAATAATACCAGATATACTTACATCATCATCATCATCAGTATCCACTTCAGCCTTTAAACCATCATTGTTGGTTTTTTTCCAACTAATATCAACTTTATTATTGTCACTGCTTACTTCTTTTGCTTCTTCCGATTCAGGGTCAACTTTTCTTATCACAGTATTTGCTATAACTATATCCTTACCATCAATAGTGTCCACTGTTTTATTTGGATCAACATTGATCTCCATTTCCCATACCGGTTCTGATTTAATTGACAAAGGCCCAATTTCACTTTTAATGTCTTTAAAAGAATCAAAAGCGATCTTTTTAGTTGGCACATTTTGAATGGCTTTAGCTAAAATGGTTCGCAGTTTTCTGTCTGTTCTGAAAAACAATGATTTAAATTCAATTTTAACATTACTAAATTCAGTAAACATGAAAAATTTTAAAAAGTAAACATTTAATTACCTTTCTGCTACTGTTTTTAACAGGTATGCTTTCTCCAATGAAGTACAACACTTGTGACAAATCTTTTCCGGTAACCCATCGTTTGATAGCACCTAAAACCAGATAGTAAAGAAATTATCATGCATGGTCAGATCAGTATCATTGTAAAAAATTAAAATGTGGTTACCAATGTGTGAAAATTGCACTTTTATAACCTATTGATACTAAACATTGTTAAAGGTTGCTACAAGTTTTTAACTAAATAAAACTACTTCTATAAACCTGTACGCTATTACTTTTAAAAATTTGTAATAAATAAATCGTAAAGATTTTTTGACATTTTCTTTTACGGCTGTTGTATATGAAAAAACATTGAAATGTTTAAGTGTACTCCGATATTTACCTTTACGTCGGCAATTGCAGTGAGCATTTCAGCATAGTTTCCTGATAATTTATATCTGAATAAAGGGCACAAGGGCTTTTTACTCGATAAACATACACGACAAGAGCTTAAGTTTATAGACTTGCTTGGATCATGCATATTTGTAAACTAAAGGGATGATAAAAAATCCGTAACTGTATCAATACGATTACCGATTATCAGAGAAGACCCGTTAAAGTGATTTCAACAAAATTGAATGAAATAGACTATGGCCGACGCTGTCAATTCAACTCGCTTGGTACGACATCGACATTTTCCTCCCTATGGCAATATGGCAAGCCGAGCCAGCAAAGGCAGAGTTCCGATTGTCGATGGTTTTTATTAGCAATCTCAGTCACATCACAAGCACTATCAGTCACATCAATACTATAATTAATTTAATCGATATCTCTTTTATAGCTTCATTGAATTGGAATGTTAAGAAGCATGTGTGGCGTAAGACGAATGCATAAGATATGAAATAATGATTTTATATGCGGAAGTATGGGCATGTTATGAAGAGGGATGAATCGCAAGTAATAAAAAGAATGTCAGTTACGAGTGTGGAGGGGTCCACCGATAGAGGGAGACATAAAAAGAGATGAATAGATTGCGTGAAATGTGACATGATCAAGAAGGGAGTGAAGTCTGAAATGACGGATGATAGAGTTATGTGGAGGACAGGAGTAGGATAGGGGGAAAATGATGATTAAAATGTCTTAAATTCGTTAGTGTTGTTTACTGCTTTTATATATAAATATACTGTGCGATGTATGTTTATTTAACTACTAGCTGTTGTTCGCGACTCGGCTTAGAATTAAAAGAATAGTCTTATATATAGCCTATGTGACTCACTGATAAGGTAGCTTTTTAATAGTAAAAGAATTTTTGAAATCCTCCCAGAAGTTTTTGAGTTATTTCGATACATACAAAAATACAAATATTCCCTCTTTATAATATTAGTATAGACTTATTTAGACAAATAAATAAGAATAGGAATAACGATAATACTACATACCAGAAAGTCCTACAAAAGGAAAATCACTCGGACATTTTAAAAGCGCCGTTGAAGTGGTTGAAAAAATTTAACAGTTTTCTTTAATGTTTACTCTTTGTCATTTACTCTTTGAACCAAACCAACAACAACACGAAATGTCACTTTAACACTGCGTTGGACGATAACAGGAACTAATTCTAACTTATTTTTGATCTAATTCTTCTTACGTTTCCATTATACATTAGAAAGTAAACCTCATTTAAGTAGTGAGTGTAGCAATAAAAATATCAGTGGCCTGTACTCGTGCAATTGTATTATAAAATGTTATGATGGCTACCTACGAGAATTGGTCAGGTCGACGGAGAGGTAAATTTTTCTTGTACTGTAATTATGTAAAATTGGTTTTTGTGTTTTAATTAAGGTCTTCTATCGATTTCCCCTCGCTTACTTTTAATTCGGATTAGACGTCAATTAAATAAATTGTTATGTAAATTAATATATTCCAGGTAAACAAGGTGGCGATTTATATAGGTTAGACACTAAAAATAAATCGCCTGAAGAAAATATAAAAGAAATTATACAGGGCTTATACTTGAAGAAGACATTTAATAATGATACTTCACCAACCAATAAGAATATGCCCATGGATTTTAAGACTGGTTTACGGAATGTGCAGAAAAATGGTTCTGATTCCTACAGACATTCTTGTTTAAATGCTTTAGTTGTGTTACTATCGAAAGAAGATAGAAATAATTTAGGATTTTCAACTGATGAATTAATGACATGGTAAGCTTTAGCAGCTATTTTATTTTATTTTCAATTTCAAGAAGGTGTAATGTAGATCAATCTGATTTCATGTACATTCAAAATACAAAGGCTTTTATTTTTGTGAGAATAAAATGTAATAGGTATTTAAAGATTTTATGGCTTGCTTACATGAACAATACCTGAGAAATAGAGAGTTTTAGTAAGTGTTGTCAGAGTCAAACATATAATATATTGATATGAATGTGCACTGACAATGGTTTTATTTAAGCTCAAGATGTTTTTGTTTTATTTGAAGCACAAATAGATTTATTCTTTACTTCAATACATGGTCACTTTTTGTTATCAAATATAGGGCTTAGATTTATTATTAATAACATTCTGTTAGGCTCATAGAATATTTAATACATAAACAATGAACCAATTTAGTTGTTTAATGATGCTTTGGATTTTAGTAAAATTACAGATAATACTGCATTTTTAATTATAAACTGTTATGTCCTTGTTCTTCTCAACTAAAACATACTGCTTTTAGAAGGTATTATATTCAAAATATATAAATAACTTACAGTATTCGAGCAAGCCTTGTGGATGAGTCTATGGTTATCAGAGCTGCAGCATTACGAGCTCTAAGATATTTGATCAAAACCGAGAGTGATGTTGCCACATTCAACATATTGAAGTTAACACATATTGTCACAAGGTACTTTATCATATTTTGTAATAACAAAGATGTCTTAATTCAAGTAAAAGTTTGATTATTTTACTGCCTTCACCCTTTGCACTTGTGTATTTGTTTTGGATGTATTAATCCATATGTGTTCCAAAATTAAAAAAAAAAATAAGGTTCAATAGTGCAAATTTTTACTTTAATTACTCTAAACTGAAGCAATTTGAAAACATTTTCAGATCCATGGATTTAATGTTGCGAAATGAAGAAGAGCGAGCACAAGCTCTTCGAGTCGTGCGACGTGTTATAGCTGTAGTTGGTGCAGCAGAGCAGCCATTACGTTGTCACAGATCAGCATATATTGACCAGGGCTTGCTTAGATGTCTAACGGCCGTGGCTCGTGCTGGCAGTGCTGGGGACGGTACTGGGGATAGGCTCTCTCGACCAGCTGTTGCAACATTAGCTGAGATCTGTAAGTTTATGAAATAGATTTTTTATATATTATTGCTCTTGACAAGAAGTTCCAAGTAATAGTGAGTTAATTATAGTTATAAAATATGTTCATGTGGGTTTAAGTATACATTACACATTGTAGAATTTATTCCAGGTGTCCTAAACCCTGATCTGTTTATCTCGTGCGGAGGAGTTAATGCAGTGATCCGTCAATTGGCTGAATGTGCGACACCCCGTATGGCGGAGGCTCTCTGTGGTGTCTTACTACATACACTGAATGAGCCTTTGCCTCGGAGAGCAGCTAGAATAGATCTTACCTGTCTCAATTCACCATACTGTGATTTCCATTGTCGACCTGCGGGAACTGATTCAAATAGGTAATTTTGAAGTTAATTAATTATGAAAATATGTTGTTATTTTGTGGCATCTATAGTAAAATCTTATATTATTGACTTAATGAAGCAGACTTGTTTTACAGAGAAACCGCTGATGCGTTTTGTGTTAGGTGCAAAGGGAGGTGTACTCTCTACAAACTGTTTAAAGTCAGTTGACGCTCATAACACAAGACCTATCAGCGGTTTTACTGGCGACGAATCGGAGCAACTAATTTTAGGCAATCAGCTCCTTGTTTGGTCTACTTTCCAATAAATAGTTATGGAACGGAAAAACGGATAGTGCAGTTGGTATTTGATAGTTTATATTAAGTTTCTTAGCTTAAAATAGATTTATTTTCAATATGCAGGGACGAACGTGAGATGCGCTTCACTTGCAGCAGACTGTCCTTGCTGTGCGTACTGCGCAGCTGGCCGGGCTTGCTGCACTTCTGCAATCCCTGCAGCAAGGGCGGCCTGCGGGCGTTGGTCAGCGCTCTATACTTGCCGCGGTTAGAGGTCCGAGTGAGTATACATTTGTTTTTAGTAATTTCAGCATTTTTCGTTGTACTTATTAACTTGATATTGTCATCGACTCCTTCTGCGTGGATTAAAAATAAAAACAAAAGTAAATAGTCTATGTGTTCTTCCATACTAACCACTATATCTATGCCAAATTGTGATCTGTTTAGCCGTTTAGGCTACAAACTTTAAAAAACATCCACCCTTCCATCCATCAATCCAAACTTTCGCCATTATAATACTAGTAATTAGTAATATGTAATACATATAGTTCATTATATTTTATTTGAAAAAAAAAACTGACAAAATACAGTTAACGTATTTTGTGAGTTTTTTTATTTCTCTGTACTTTAATGCATATAAAATTCGGTATTTTTTTTATTTCTTCTAAATGTTTGGTACTTTTAAAATATTTAAAAGCAGAATTGTATTTTCAGAAAGCCATATTGGATTTGTTGTATGAGTTAGTTGGACTACCGCAACCGGAGTGGACAGATGAGATTTCCGTGGCCTTAGATGCTGTTGATCCATCTGATTTTCAGGTATCATATTTTTCATAATTGAAAACGTGTTTTATTTGTGTAGCTTTCGAAAAACTTAATTTTCATTATTGGTATATTTTTAGGATTCCTGGCGTCTAAACGAAGGCTTCGTGGCAGCTGAAGGCACCGCTATTCTACCTCATCTCAGTGCGACTGGACCGGATATTATTGAAATTCATCTTGCTCTATTACTTCAATGCTTCCTGGAGGTATAATATCTGCCAATTAAGTTTCAACTTGGGCTCTCCGCGTAAAGTTTTAGTTTGGGCTCTCCGCGTAAAATTTTAGTTTGGGCTCTACGTGTAAAGTTTTAGTTTGGGCTCTCCGCGTAAGTTTTAGTTTGGGCTCTCCGCATAAAATTTTAGTTTGGCCTCTACGCGTAAAGTTTTAGTTTGGACTCTCCGCGTAAAGTTTTAGTTTGGGCTCTCCGCGTAAAGTTTTAGTTTGGGCTCTTCACATAAAGTTTTAGTTTTTGTATAACAATAGTAAAATTTTATATTACAGGCTGGACTTCTCGATGGATTAGCGGAAGTAATAGTGACAAGTGATACATTTATATCTGTCCGTGCTACCGTGCTGTTAGGCCAACTATTGCATTTAATACACATGTTTCTACCTCCACAAATATGTAATTTAACGCCTGCGTTACCCACATTGTTGTCACAAGCGTCAGCGGGCAAGCCTCAAGCGTTAGCGGCTGTCGCTGCCTTAAGAAGACTGCACTCCATGCTAGAGGCGCGCCCGGCTAGCAACAGCTTGTTCCTAGACCACATCATACAGTACTGCAGTGGCGCATTCCGACACAAAATAGAAGATATGACGAAAAGTCGAAAGGAAAAGGACAATGCTAACATGGCGAAGCCGCATCACGAACTGTTAGTACATAAAGAGAGTAGTATCGAGTTTCTCAACGAATCTGATAACGAAAACGAACCGAAACAGAGGCATAGTGTCGGCTCCCGAGCTGATGTTACCAGCAGGAATGTTAGTGCACTAGTGAAAAGCAAAAGTGTTAGTTCTCGGACTAGTTCAGTAGGAAAAGTGTCCAAATCGGCAAAGTTTTTCAGTTTATTTGAACGTGATAGTGATAGTTGGATACGATCGAGTCTTGTCATGCAGAGCAAGGATGGCAACACATGGGACTGGGAGATTATACGAACGATATTAAAGGTAATATCAAAAATTTGATCATTAACAATGATTTTCGACATTTTCTATTGCAAAACTTATTTTAGGAATCGGATGGTGCGCCGTTATTGAATTTGAACGACAGTGGACACAAAGCGTGGGCGAGTCGCATCATAAGTTATCTTAAACCTTCATCCAACAAGTATTCACATACAGATCTATCGACCACATCCAATGGACATTCCGCAACACGGGCTGGATGTCAATTAATTAGACATTTGCTGCAGCATAATGACGTGAGTACATTCAACGTATACATACAAGTTCCTATTATTTTTTCATGTATTACAGAGTTTGCGTATGTTTTTTAGGCTGATTCTCAGAGGATGCTAGAAGAACTGTTTATGGATGTGAGCAAACAGATAGAGGCTATAGAGACAGGTCGTAAGGCCCACGAGTGTCTCTTCAGTCCTCAGCACATGTGCAACACTATGTGCCAAATGTATTTCCTATTTATAGGACAACTCTGCCACTCGCAAGTCGGTTTGAAATTATTCAAACAAACAGGGCTTTATGATAAGTAAGTTTATCTTTTTGCTACTTTAAAAATTATTTTATTATGCCATAAAACAAACCATAGATAACGTTTCCTTTTATTTCAACGATTGTTCTTCTTACAGTCTTCTAGAACTTTCGACGAAAACACATCACAGTTGTTACGTCAAACTCGTTATATCGAGTTTGGACTATACATTAGACTCTAGTCCTCGGGATGTTTTGGCTAAAACACTAACTTGCACCATACAAGCATCAAGATTGTACGCAACACAATTTCTCAACGTCCTTCTAAGAGCTTCTAGAAGCTCCCGTGAACTTGTAAGAAAGAAATCTAAATTAAAGAAGAATTACACTCAAGATCAATGGAAACATGTTTATAGAGATGATGGTGATAGTAATGCAGTTGATATGGACACGTGGGTACTACAAATGTTGGTTGGGCAAGTTAAAGATGAGTCTAAGAAGGTTGTCAAATGTGCTTTATCTATATTGGAGGAAGCATATAGTGTTCCCGTAAGTCTATATTTTTTTTTTTCATTATTTAAATCAGTAAAGTATGTTCAATATTTCATGCACTTTATCAGGCGTTCCTAGAGAAACTGATGACAATGAAAGACACCCTTGGTCAGAACTGCCGACTGGACAGAAACGCTGATCCTTCGACTTTGGACTTTAGCTCCGTTGGTGATAGAGGCTATCTGATATGGCTGGGTCTAGAAGTTGCGGCAACCGTTCAGACCGGCGATACACAATCTATAGCATTTTTAAAGAGACATTTGGATTTTTGGGCTAAATCTTACAACTACAGGTAATATATTGAAATTACATATACTATGTCATCTTTAAAGTTTTATTATTGGCATACGTCATACTTTTTCCCTTAAATAACAGGCGAACTAAATACTGTCCAACATATAGCCGTATTTAAAAATGTATTCTAACCAAATTTATATATTACAATGCCTAAGAGGATATATGAAACAAAATATTTTAAACTTTTATACTAATAAAACAGCACCAAATTTTGCAAGCATGTTATTTTTCTTCAGTGTTATATTGAGATAAGTGTAATATAGTGTGTGTTCAACAGATACGTGCGTTTGGTGGAGGCGGGCGTGCACGAGGCGCTGTCGGTGTGCGAGGGCGTGCGTCGGCCGCGAGCGTCGCGTCGCGCGGTCCGCACGCCGCCGCATCTGCTGGCCGCGCTCGCCGCCGCGCACCCCGCGCACGCCCCACACCCCACACACGCCGCGCACCCTGCACACCCCGCCAACATGGCCGCCGTGCAGCTGCGGGGTCTCCTAGCCGCCGCACTGCCTCCGCACTACAAGGTAAATCCTGACAATTGTAACTTGATACTAAGGCTGACATGAATCTTAAACACATTTTATTCCTAAGCCCCGCTAAAAATCTGACACGGCCTCAGAATTTTAATGGAATTTGGACTTTGAACGCGGCCGCATTTATATCGCTTTTCAACATTTACTTTAGAAATCTACACTAAGCGACTACTTAAATAACAGTTTAGCTTCTTGAGTTTAGCAGATAATTAATTTAATCATTAAAACATAGATCGTTTCTATCATTAATAAGAGATTCAACTTTTATGGGATAGTTTTGTTTCAGAATATTTGATGATTGTGTATTGTATTGGTGGCGCAGGTAATCCAAGGCAGGAAGTGCAGTACGGAGCAAGAGATAATGGAGCTGAAGGCGTCGCTGTGGGCGGTGGGCAGCGCGGCGCTGAGCGGCGCGGGGCTGCGGCAGGTGGCGGCGGGCGACGCGCCGCGCCTCGTCGTGCGCCTCGCCACCTCCACGCCGGTCTACTCCGTGCGCGCCACCGCCTTCTACGTGCTTGGACTCTTCGCCACCACCTTCGAAGGCGCCAATATACTCTCCGATTTAGGTATGTAAAAGAATTCTTACATCTCACTAATGTTATAAATGCGAAAATTTAGATGGATGTTTGTTTTTGTGAGTTTGTAACCTAAACGGCTGAACGGATCTGAATGAAATTTGGCACAGATGTACAGAACAGTCTGGAAGAACACAGGCTTTATTTTTTATTATTTCCCCGCTGACGAAGTCGCGGGCGAAAGGTAGTTTATTATAAAATAGATTTCACCTGTGCCTTTGTCTGCAAGGAATTAAAAAAAAATTAACAAGTGTCTATGTGTTCTTCAAGACTACGTTGTATATTTGTGCCAAGCTTTTGCGAGATCCGTTCAACTTTTGTGGGCATACATAGTTACAAGTATCCATCCACTAGATTTCGCCCGCAACTCGTCACCCTTAAATTAAAAAAAAAACCAAATCAAAACACTACTAAGAATCTACTAATTCTTAGTAGTGTTCTCTCGGACTATCCTTTACATATATACCAAATTTCATCAAGATCCCTTTAGTCGTTTAGACTACAAACTATAACAAATATTCATCCATCCCTCCTTACATCTACTAATACAAACTTTCGCATTGTTAACATTCATAGGATCTATCAAAACTTTGACCATATATCTACGTCTAGATTAAAAGAATACAATAATATTGAGCATAAGACCATTTAGTTTATAGTATTTTTTTTCTTAAACTTCCAGGTTGGATATCTGTAAGACATACACGTCACGATCAATTCCCTATAATACCAGACGAGAGCTACCCGCCATCTTGCGATCCCACTATAGACGGCAACTATATAACATCACCTGAACGAAGATATAATGCATTCGATATAGAACTTAGCGAACACTCCGATCATACAGACTTAAGTACAGCAGAAAGCGTACATTCAGATACAAAACATGGAAGTAAAACTATAATCGACCATGATGTTGACTTTAAAACCCCTTACAATGAAAGTCGACGCGAAGTCAGTAAGAGAAAATCCCATACTTTGCCCACACAAGGATGCTCCACTTCACATGATAGACCGGCGTTAACTGAATCTAGGACTGTAGATATTCTAAGAGATTGTTCGAGTTACGAACGACCTGGACCACATCGGCATTTCGAGAACAGATTGTTATTAGGACGAATGAATTCTTTGGAACATCATGAGGGTAGAGTTAGAAATACGAGTGAGTCGAGTACGAGCGGCGTCAGTAGTTGTGATTCGGCCGGCGGGAAATATGCAATACCGTAAGTGTTAAGACTAACATTTTTATCTAAATAACTCAGTATAATTTGGTTTCCCGACGCGGACTGTTTTTTTGAACACCTCAATCTATACTCAATATTATAAAGAGGATATTTTTGTACATCAAAAGTAACTCGAAAGGTATTGGGCCGATTTCAAAAATTCTTTCACATTAAAAAGTTATCAGGGAGTAACATAGGCTATGTTTTTTTGTGATTTTTTAAATTTACGCTGGCGAAGTCTCCCGCTACAGCTAGTAGTGTTATAATGTTATTGAAGATTTTTTTTAAAATCAATGATTACTTATTGTAAAGTATTTTTTCAATAAAATATGCGTAAGTTGTAGATTTATGTTAAACCAAGCCCTAACTTGTCTTCTATTGTAACTTTTATATTTGTTAAATAAATTATTCTTTTATTGTGCAATTTAAAAATATAGTGTGTTTTTTTATTGCAGTGACAGGATATTAACTCTGAGTCCAATACCAAGTTCGTCCAGCCTGTACGGTATGAAGAGTAGCAGCAGCTCTCACCGGCCTCGGATGTCCGAATCACAACGGAGAACTTCCACTTCAAGTAAATCATTTATTAAAGACATCAGGGAACGAAACACTCCTAAAATATGTTGTCCTTTTTAAAAACAGAGATAGTAATGTTTTTTTTATCTTTTAAGGTTTTTCAACATGTGAAGTGGCCAGTTCCCCTCCAACACAAATGGATATGTCAGGTTATGCTACACTCAAGACTATCAATAAACATAGAAGGTTAGTTCACATTATTTGTAGCATTTCTACGTAGATATACACAAATAAAAAAGAAAGTTTTAAGTAAACCGCTTAAAAAAATTACAACTTTTAATTTTAATACACACTAAGTTTTAATACACACTTTAAGCGTCCATAGGCGAGTTTTTTACGTCTTCCTCTTTTATTTTTTATGCACTTTTTAGGCGGAGTATAAACAGTGCAGACCTGTGACGTCATTTTTTTAGCGTCCTAGGCAGCCAACTACGCTCTACCCTACGTCGGCCCTATACATTTTTTGCTAATATTTAGGCCACACTTGTCGGAGAGCGCGGCATCTGGTTCCAGCGAGCTGGAGGAACTGACCTGGCTGCTGACGGACACGCAGCGCCGCTCCAAGCCCTTCTCTTCCTTACGCGACAGGGCCAAGTCCACCAGGGAGAGGATGACCAAACTAAGGTACTATCGGGGAAACTGGCGGTATTCCACCTTAAAAACTAGGGTTTAAACGCTTTGTACTCATTGGTATAAAAACGCAGAACATTACAAATAGGATGTAGATTTTAAATGTGTCTGTATGAAAATCAGGGGTTAATTACTTTTTAATATTTTTTAAACGGTTGTAAGAAGTGGACTTTGTCTCATTTGCAAGAACAAGGCAATTTTTCTGTAACAGGAACACTGAGGATATCCATGACTTATGTGATCAGTTGACTCGGTTTTGATAAAAGCATAAGTTTTAATTGTTCAGCTGTTAAATTAAATGTAAATTCAGATTACTTATTAATTAGTTACTTAAGCCACAAGGAAATAATTAAACTGTCTTATTCTTTCAGTCTCCTAGATTACGATTGGAAGCCACTCCCACTGTCGGAAGGGGGGCGGACATCTCCCCCTCCCGCAGCGCGCGACACCCCGCGACGCGCCCCCCATCCCGCTCACCCCCCGCATCCCGCACAACCCCCACACCCCACGTACCCCGCACACCCACCGCCCTACATCGGCATCTGTCTGCCCAAGGACCTAAAAGAACTGTTTCCCAAGTGAGTTAACTCTTAAATCTTGACTATAAGAATGCAAAGTGACTAAAAAGTAATGATCCGAGTGTGAATGTTGTTGTAAAAGAGATAAACAAATACATATTTCAATTAATGTTTTGCTCTTTACGAGGAGATTTAATATTTAAACTTTAATATTCAGAGATGAAGAAGACAAAGAAGACAGTGAAATGGAGAAAAGAGTACCATTTGGTCGAACCGGAGTAAATCTATTCCCAGCAGAGTATAGTAATACAAGTACTGAGAATAAATCAAGAAACACGCCAGAACATCATGCGGTCCTTCATAAAGGTTTGGTTAATATAAAATAACTGATTTCTCTTTAATTTAGTAGTAAAGAAATAACAATAGCTATCAGTAATTTACTTCATTGGAATTCTATGTGATATACACACTATAACTACAGTGTTTTTTTTAATATACTGGTCAATACTTTCAGATATGGCAACGTCGGTTCCTGCTTCTATACCACGGACTACAGAGGGAAATGTAACAACTGCTGGCAACACTGATACCAGTTTCGAAACCCATGAAGATATTAAAATACCAAAACAAGAAACAAAGAACATTGTTAAAATCGATTCAGGAAAAACTTACGATGATATTAAAGTTGATAAAACATTAAATTTGGACAAAATACAAGAAAGATCAACAGAAAATCTAAATGTTACAAAAACTGACAATATTGAAAAGGTCAGTTCGCCTGATCATGTTTTAAAAAGTTTTCCAGGGAGTGTTCCTAAATCTGCTAATTTACTTGACAAGGTTGCAACAAGGGTTAGGTCACCCGAGAAGACTGGAAGTGCCTTAGATTCATCAATATCGGAGAAGGTCAATGTAAAAGCTGGACTGGGTTCCCGATGGAGGCATTCCACTAACGACTGCCTCGCTTGCGTCAAAACAAGACCGCCTTCTTCACACGAGTTACGAGAAGCTTTTTTTGCTGGTACGGTGTTCATTTTAAAACCACAAAACATTATTGTTACATAAATATAACAGACAAAAAAATATTGAATATAGTTGTTAATTGTTAGAATAAGGGGGAAGATGTGTTGTTCTAAAGTTCAAACTTAACTATAATGTATAATAAAAAGAATAAATATAAAAATTCCAGTATTTTATGTTAACGAAGTTTATATTATTTCAGCTATGGAAAGCCCTAGTAATAGTGTTCCTCCTGATGTTCGGAGTAGATCTGTCAGTCCGGCAAGTGATACATTATGCCCTCAAGCAGAAGTCTTGCATCACGTACATTTCATGTCGAATCCCATACATCTAAAACAGGTTTGTGTTTTATGAGATATTTTGTATATAGTCTGTTTATTTTCTAATTGTCTGCAACTTCCTCCCTGTGATAATAATAAAGTAATAAAAAAAATAACCTATGTTACTCATTGAGGCTGTAGCTTTTATTGATAATTTTTTTTTTAAAACCGCCTAGTAGTTTTTTTACATTTTTCAATATATGCAACAAAACAAATCTTTCCTCTTTATAATATTAGTATAGCAAAGTGCATTAAAATGTTTAGAAACTTCTGCTTTTTTAATGAAACATTCAATTTTACAGGCGCGTTCAACTTTAATATCATTAAAGCAACGCTACCCTGAGGTATTCCGGAGCCCGTGTGTGTATTCAGACGTATGCGCGCTGCTCGCTCGGGACACATACATGTTATGCGCGCGACGCTTCCTGCAGGAACTGTTCCTGGATGTCAACTTTGATTGCTTTGCCCATGAGCCCATTAAAGTGCTATCAAGACATGGTGCGATACTCTCACCGACACAAGTGAAACCTTAGTGCTTACGATGGTAGTGACACCATAGTGCTTACGATGCAAGTGACACCGTAGTCCTTATGATGGAAGTGACAACATAATCCTTATGATGCAAGTGACACCATAGTGCTTATGATGATGACCATTGGAAATGATGAATTGTTCAGTGGTGTGCTTATGTATGAATTGCTCGACTTTAGGATCTCTGTCTCCTCATCCCAAGGTATTATTATTTAACTTATGTCCTTTTGCAGTCCTTATATACAGCTTACTCGAAAAGCAGTTGTCGAGTTTCTATCAATGTATGATCAATAGATAATTTGAAAATTATGTGATTTACATATCAAGTAAATGGGGAAAGGAACTGAGATAATGTTGTAATATAGATCTTTACTGTATGCAATATGGTGTGTATACCTTAACTGTTGTTTATTAAAAACAGCCACATAATTAAAAAAAAAATTGTTGATGTAAAATGTTTGAATTGCATTATCAAAAGGCCTTAGCATTAGTTAGTTGCAGGACTACATTTAGATTTTATATCACAGGAGCTCATAGTTTTGAAGTTATTTATGCTTACATATTTTTTTTCCACATCTGTCTAAATTCAAGTGTTTTTTGATCCTTTGATTGCAATATGTGGACTATTTTTGTAAAGATATAAATTATTTAGAAACTATGAAAACTTTTTTTTATAAAATTTAAATGTAATGTTTCAAACTCGCAAGCCTGTTTTATTATTTAAATTGTTTAAGGTAAAATATCACTTTCATTTAAACTAAACTATTCATAAGAGGACTTTAACCAATTTTGATAAAAGAAAGTAATTTAAAAAAAAATAGTTAATTTATTGTTTCTATTGCATAGTTGATTAGATTGTCAAAGAATCTTGTTTTCACACTTAAATTATTTTTCCACCAAGTCCATTCAAATTATTAAAAAAGCTAAAGGAAAGTGGATTGTTACAAGAAATTGATTATTAATAATTTATTGTGTTGATTTGTCAGCTAGTAAAGTAACTAGTTTAAACACTATCAAACATTTTATTTTTATTTAAATTGTTATTTATGTGTATAGTAATAACTATTATTTATACAAACAATATAAAGCTGCCGATTTGAACAAATTTATGTTGTTTATTGCAAACTAAATGGACTAAAAGTATTTATAATTTAATCTTAAGGCACAGAGAATGTGTTTTTTTTAAATTAACATTTTTGTTAAATGCTTATGTTTGTATGCAGTTGTGTGGCAATAACTGCATGTTTTGTTTAATCTTAAAATAAGATATAAATATATGGAATAATTTAAAAACAGCTACTGCCAATATGACCACTAGATTTGTTCCTAAACATGACTTTTTATAGCCTGACCAGAAATATAAAAACTATCGCCTTATTACGCAACTTCTTTGTGTATATTAGAAAGTGCGTACTAACGGAACCGATTGAAGCCCCAGGCCAGGTTTCTATATACATGTTCCAATTATTTTCCAAGTAAAAAACCTCAATTAACCTCAATGTATTGTAATCTGTAGGCTGCTAACATGTTTTTTTTTATTATGGTTTAGGCAGTGACATTTGTTTAAATACATATTGTGGTCTCTTTCATTCTATTTGAAATAAATGGAGACAACAATGTGTCAATTTAAATGTCATGCCAGTGGAAACCTTACATTTGTGATATAATATGTATACAATGTAACAATTTAACTTTAGTTATGTATTAAGAACTTTCCTATTAGATTTTGTTTGATAATCCCTTTAATTAGGAGCATTTGCATTTTCATATATTTATAAATCTACATATTGTATTCTAAGTAATCACTCGCTGTAATATTGATTTTTAGGATTAGGTATTTTGTCGGTAATTTTTTTGAAATCTTAATTTCAGTTTAAAGAATCCTTCATAATAAATGAATATTACATTAAGCCTTACACTCGTAAAGGTAAATTTGAGTCTTGCACATTAAGACCATGTATATGTGTGCATTCTGACAGTTCCTTATTATGTTAACCTGCTTTGACATGTGTATGATCTGGCAGAGTGAATAATATAATGAGTGCTATAATACTTTGCAGTGCGCTTCTGAAAGCTTGCATAGTAAAATACCCTTGGGGTGCTTGTATACTGTATGTATGCTTGCATGCACAGAAATAGAGCTTTCCGCTAAAGTGAGTTTGTATATCTATAATTCAGTCTAGCATGTTATGGATTAAACGATTTAATGACAATAGAGTAAGTACTATCGGGGAATATGGTGGTGTTCTACCTTAACCATAATAATTTGAATGTAAACATTGAACGAACGAGAAAACGTTGGTAAGTGATACATTGATTTTATTGTTATTTTGTTGTTTGTTCAACTTGTACCTAATTGCAAGAACAGTGGAGTTTGTCTTGTTGCAGGAACAAGACTATTTTTGTGGAACACTGCAAATGGCCCTGACTGTACATAGAATTATCGATAAGTAAAGTCTTTCTAGTGATATTTCCCCCACCTGTGGTTACAATAAAGAAGTCTCCCATAATAAATATAGAAACTTATAAATACGCCGTTGTGTTCAATTCATATAGCATCTTGCATTTAATACTTATAATTCTTTTTCCTCATTGAAATTAAAATGAATACAGTTTATATTAATGATATTACAAATAAGTATTAGTTATAATTAAACCAGTTGGCCCTTAAATGGTTAGTTTCAATATTTATAAGCTTAGTTACCCCTTTTGCAATGTCAAAAATTTGTATGTAATCTAGTGCTATCTAATTGTGAATGTTTTCAAAGATGTTTTACAGTATTCCTATAAAAGTTATGTATATGTGTTATATGTATTATTTTAGTACATTCTGCTGATAGTTCTCGATGTCTGCATTTATATTTTTTTTAGTTGTAATTTCTATTTAGTTTGTGTTACTTCATAAAAAAGTCACTGGTTCCGTCGTAAATGCTAGTCTATAAAGTATACGAAGCTCCGTATATTTTTCATGGCATATTACAATTGTAAATAACTATGTTATTATATTTGTTTGAAATGCAGTTCAAAATGTTAATTGTTTTTATGTATTCCCTCAAAGAAAAATAAATTATTTCATTAAAATACTATTAGTATTAGTGCCATTGAGCCTGTTCCTTAAAATTGTAATTGTTAATGTCTTGTAAAGCAAATTGCTAATAAAATGTAGTTTTACAACTCATCACTAGATGGCGCTGTACTGTTTAAGTGCCCACTATA